TTTCCCTACTGAGATTTTTCCTGATGTTATGAACCCTCTGAACATTATTGGGCTGCCATTGTTGACGTTTTTCTTCAACAGCCGTATTTCCATTGATGACATAGTTGTTTAACTTGGAATTTCAAAACATGAGGTGGTTTCTGGGTTGCAGCAAAATTAGCTTGTTTTGCAAACAATTTTGCAAAACAAAATTTCAAAATTGTTTGCAATTTTTTTTGCAGATACTTTTGTGGATTTCAAGAGTCACAAGATCACCAAGTGGATGTTACTACTGGCAGAAACCACAAAGAAGACGACAGGAAGTGGTAGGAGAATAACAGCGCAACATGTTTTCATTGACTTATCGAGGGAAAAAACTTATTCACAGAGACTTTAATTGCAGTTCTTATTTAATGGAAACACTGCAATTGTGACATTAGTGGAATATCAATGTTTTGCACACTTTTGCAATGGAAACAACTCATGAGACATGAAGGAAGACATTCAGGTTGCTGTTGTCGGTTCAAACAATTCTCAACCTCCTTGGGAAAAATTAGTAAAAAGTTCTGAAAAGAAACAATGATTAAACATCAAATGACATACCTGAATTCAGTAAATGCAAATGCTTAATCATCTAAAACACCATCATTTCTATTACAAATGTGCGCAAAATATTGTTGTTATTTCATTAATGTTGGGGAAAAACTATTTTGCATTTGTGGTGTTTCTTTCAAATAAAAAATGCAATTAAAATCATATGATAAGTTTGCTCATGTGATTTGTCAATAAAAACATGCCACACCATTATTCTCCAACCACTTCTTGTTGTCTTCTTCGTCATTTCCGCCAGTAGTAACATTGATTATGCGACTCATGTGATACAAAAAAGTATTTCCAAAGCAACCTTGTCCCGGCTCAAACCCCTTTTAATGAAAAACAGGATTTTTTTTTTCAAAACTGCCACGTTTTCATTAAAACAAATTTATTTTCTTAATTCCAATTTTCGCAATTATATGAAAACACATTTAACGTTAAATATTCTGTCTAAACTGAGAAACAAAAGAACCGAATATTTTTTTTTTGCAAGACTCGCTTTGCAACCTCCCCAACCTTTCAAGGTTATCAAGACAATCCTGATGGGATCCAATCCTGCAGGACTCAAAATGACCATCTGTGGAAATCTAATTTCATCACAAGCATCCTGCAGGCATCACAGAGCAGCAGTTCTGACTTTTCAGCCAGAAAACCACCAGATCGGACAGAAACTATAGTAATTATAGAGTGCTGTCTGCTGCAGTGAGGCATATTTAAATCGCCACAAATGGTTCTGAAATCATCATTCACAAAAACAAAACTGTAAAAACACAAAATCTTACCAAATATTGTTGGTCAAGTTTCTGGTTCAAACATTTTATTAGACTTGAAATAAGACAAAACTAACTAATATAGGAGCTTTTTTTAAGTCAATGATTTAAGTCAAAAGCTTGAGTTCCACTGTCAGATTATTTCACTGACAACATGGGAAAATGTCTTGTTCTAAGTGAAATTCTTCTATAATAAGGAATTATTTATTTCAAAATACTCCTGCATCTTGCAGAAAAGTTGCTAAGTCAAAAATACTTGATTAGCTGTGGTGCAGTCGGTAGCCCTGTTGCCTTGCAGCAAGAAGGTCTGGGGTTCGATTCCCGGCCCAGTCTGCATGTTCTCTCTGATTCTTCCTCCCACAGTGAAAAACATGACTGATAGGCATCAGTGTGTCCTGTCTGTCTCTGCATTGCCCTGCGACAGACTGGCGACCTGTCCAGGGTGACCCCTCGCTGGAGACCCGACCCCGCTCCGGAGAGCAGAGAGGTGCCGTTTACTTTCCTCTGACACGACTCCCAGTTCATCAAAACAAATTTATTTACTGAGATATTTGCACTACAAACTAGACCAAAAATACTTGGTGAGATTTTGTTTTTTGCAATGAATGGCATTAAAACACAAGTCTTACTGTTCCAACTGTTACTTGGAAGAGCTTAAAAGAAACTATTACTTTGTTTTTCTGTTTAGATATGCCACTTTTCTTTCAGAAATATAAAAATAAACCTTAATCCTGAATGCGCCTCTGTGTCTGAGCAGAGTCCAGGCTCTTTTCAAAGCAAACAGCTCCACTATAGAAAAGTTTCTTTTGTGGCTGGCTGGGGAAAAGGCTGTTTATCTTATTTCCGGAGCAGCAATACCTTTTCCCGACAGCAAGGATTTGTTATTGATTCTCCGGGGAATTACCGCTGATTCCGATAGAGATTGTAAACGTGGACAAGAGTGTTTCTCCCCACCCACGTCGCGGCCCCTCCAACCTGCCCATCGGTGAGGACGTTTGTTTGTGTTTGATAATTCGACAGAATGACAGATGGCGATGTTGACAGAAGCAGGAAGAGGCGCGCGATGATTTAGAGAGTGATTGATGGAGACACAAAGCAGGAGACAAACGACGCAGCCTGAAATGGAGAGCAGCTCTGTGAGGATGATGGCGGCTGCAGAGAGAACAGGCGATGCTTCAGGCAGGGCGCTTGGCTTATGACGTCTGAACGCATGTAAACACGATCAACACAATTTCCTATCAAGTTAAATAGTTGGAGCATCTTGTGTTTGTTTGTAAAGGATAAATGTGATCAAATCAACAAAAATACGTCCAAATTTGTTTGGTCAAAGATGCGACGTGTAACTTTACTAAAAAGAAAAGCATGTTTTTTTCTGTATTGTGTCTTGACAGTATGAGATGAGACAAATAATCTGTGGAAAAAATGGAGCAACTCCTTGAGCTACCGTTACTGTCTGCAAAAACAATCAGTCAAAAACAACCAATCAGAGCAAAGAGGAGGGTTTAAGCGCTGTCAATCATCCTCCTGTATGCTGCTCAATGTGCTAATGGTGGGAAACATTCGCACCATGTTTTTCCACCATCACACAGATAGTACTATTTACTTTGTGAATTAGGAAATGCTAAGACAGTGGATACAATGAATAGAGCAGATTAAGTATTATGAAGCTCAAAATGCAACTTCAATGAAACTTTAAAAATGAGCTGGGATGCAAAGAGTTCCAGAAATAAATGTAATATCTGAAGCGCACTTGAGCACTGATTAGTTTCATGCTATTATAGCAGAAAATGTCAAGCTGTTTCAAAGAAGCCGACTCACCTGTGGTGTAAATATTAAATAAAGTAATTAAAGCACATTAATATAATAAAGTATTAGACTCAAGCAGAAGATGGTCTAAATACTTTCCAACTGATACCAGACAGATTGCAGAAATCTAGATGAAAAATTTGACTCTATAAAATTCAGTTCAAAACCAGTTTTTGTTGCTCATTGTCCAGTTTGAACACTCAGCTGTATTCAACTTAAACACGCAAACATTTTATTCAGAAGGTAAAATGTTGTCTTTGATATTTTGTACAGGTTGAATGTTTGTTGGGGAATAGCTGTTTGAAGTCCGAGCTTTATTTGAACGCTGTTGCCCCCTAGTGGTTCATCCCCAGATTCGCTTCAGTACCTGGAATCAGTTCTTACACCTGCTCAAATTTTCTACTTTCTTTCTAACCACAACTTTCATGCGGACACCTTCTTGTTTTATGACTGATTGTCACGTTTTCTTTCTGGTTTAAATGTTTAAACCGGTTACTGGTGAATATCTGGGATAAAAGAAAGAAAAATTATTATTTTTCAGGTTGTTATTTTTGTCCTTTTATCACCAGTTCAATCATCTGGTTTCCTTTATACTGTTTTAATAATTTGGGAAGGTATGCACTGACTTTCCCTTCACCTCAGAAATGAGTCAGTTTCTCATTAAAGATGATTGTAGATGTCAGCATCAGAAGTAATCTGGTGACATTTATGCATGATATCCTCCTCCAGTCGAACGCCCCCAGCCCTCATCAACACAGCTGACCCAACATGTGCTCTGTGTGTGTGTGTGTGTGTGTGTGTGTTTCTCCTTTCATTAGTCGATGTGATCAGCTTGTCACTTCCTACGTTGTTGCGTTGAGGCACATTTGTACTTCAAAGAGAAGCTCCTCATTATTTCCCTGATATAAATATAGTGATGATCTGCAAACGAACACAAACCAGAGCATGCAGGCAAAGCAGAGAATGAAACTTTGTTTTCAACAAATTTTACTACTAAAAAGTGCCACGCATGATGGACAAAAATGTCATGTTGCGACTTGCTATTGGTCACCAAATGTTTGCAAAAACTATTCTATTTTGTATATTTATTTGCTAAATACGCATTCGATGCTTTAAAGAAGTAAACAAAGAAGTCAAATTTGTGTATCAACGTATAAATCATTGTAGATTTTCAAGGTTTGCAAGTGAAATTTTCTAGATTTTTAAAAATCTTATTAGCAACAAAATCAGAATATTGCTCACTCTTGCTTTATTTTGCTGGGTTTATGAAATTTACAACAATTTAGGAAAACAACACTGGATATTTTTATTCACTATTACTAATACATTTTATAGAAAGCAAAAACCTGGATGAATATTTTGTGTTGTACATTACATTTTAAGATTTTAATTGTAACCTTTTGGAACAGCCTGAAATTAAATAAATTATTTTTTTTTTTATTTTATGTACTGTATTTGGTATTTATTTACCAAAATAATTAATACCAATTCGGTATTAATATGCCTTTGTTGAAAAAGCATGACTTTATATGCCTTTTTATAAAATGAAGATGATTCTGTGGGGTGTCCAGCATTTTTCAAAGAGGGGTCCATGGCCCCGCCTTTCCCCCTCTTGGGGACACCACTGTAAAAACACAAACAAAACCACAATTATGCAGAAAAATTACTGATTATTTTCAAGTTCATCTACCAATTTGTTTTTGTATGTTCATCAAACATTTAAAGAAATATTGAGCAAAATTATTTTATTATCTATTTTACATAATTATTTTACTTGCTTTAATCAAGTGATAGTACTTGATTCAAGCAAAATCTATCAATTTTAAGACAAAAAAAACATTAAATCAGAACTGTAATTTACATCAAATTTGTTTTTATTGTCAAAAGTAACACAAAGTACCTAAAATACAAATATTAATTGTATTAGACTCAGGTTTGAAGTTAAACAGAACAAGTTTGACAGTCAGACTGACCGCAACCTTTTGGGCTATTTTTTCTTCTTTTTCTAAATTTAATTTTAAACACTGAATAACTGAAAAACTGCTGCAATTAAAATTAATTGCAAATGAATAGTTTTTCCAAATCAAGCAAACAAAAAATTATTTTTTACACATAAACATTGCTTTACTATCATTTAAAATTTCAAAACCTAATTTACATTTTCATTATTTGATTAATGCAAAAAAGTTTTCATTTCTAGTTAACTGAATAATGAATGTTATTTTTCTTTAAATCTACTTCATGAAAAAGTCCAGTGATCAACAAAGTTTGTTAATAATTCTCTTTTTAATCCAAAAACACACAAGTTGCTCAAAACCAGCCTGGAAAAGCCAGAACTGCTCAACGCTCTCGATTAAATTTTATTTAAAAATATGTAGAAACAGGAACGCATGTGCAAACAAACATACACCAACTGGGGAGACGCTCCTCTCAGCATCAACCTGGACTGGAACAAGAGCCACAAAAAGCAAAAAACAAACTTCACAGCAGCACTTTTACCCTCTCAAAGTAAATCCCTCCAGTTCAACATGTTGCACATCACAAACCTCAACAACTTCAGCAAAAGTTTTATCTTGAAAATCAAATAAAAGCCACAGAGTTTAACTGTTCGCTGTACAGACACATAGCTACTGCAGGAGTCTGGGAAATGACTGGAGACCCTCAATTCAGCACAAATGTTTGCACCTATAGGTCCTATTTTTTATTAAAACTTTAAAAAAAAAAACTTCAGCAGCACCAGAAACCTCCACAATGCAAAAACACAAAATCTTAAGAGTATTTCTGATCTAACTTCTACAGCAAAACATTAATAGACTTGAAATAAAAGAAACAACTTAAAAGTAACTTTTCAGCTTGTTTTTTGGAAACAATTCCTTAAAAATAATGAAAAAGTAGAAGTTCTGGCAGATAAACTTTTTTTCTTATGACAAGAAAATTATTTTAATAAATAATTATGTAAATTTTTTCTGCTCATATTTAACTGTTTTAAAGTATCTATTTAAATAATTAAATTACTGGTTCAATAATGTTTTAGAATAATTGAAATAATCATTAATATTCAAATAATTATTTAAATAACTACTTCCTTTAATAAATACTCACATATTTAAATAAGTAGTTATTTAAATATTTATTTAATTATTCAAGAAAATAAGAAATTCCAATTTAACTAATTCCTTATTTAAAGAATTAAATAATTCAGTTATTTATTTTAAGTAAATAATTTGAGGAATAAGCTTCTACATTTTGCTGAAAAGTTAATTCTAAATTATTTTAGTCTTTTTTTCAAGTGCACTAAAATATTTGCTCCATAAGCTAGACAAAAATACTTGGTAGGATTTTGTGTTGTTGCAGTGCATAGAGCTCCGGTCCTGGTCAAAAATAACTTAAAGTGCAATAGAGAAGGTTGAGAAAAGCAACCCTAAAATTAAAGGGTTTACTGGAAATAGTAGCATTTCTAATCTGCTTCGTTTGGATGCTTCCTGTCACTAAAACTGTTCAGAAACTAAAGTTAAAGTGACAGTTTTATTTCAACTGAGTCAAAGGTTCGACTAAAAATCAGCAGCAACGAAGCCGGCAACATGGCCGCTCATTACTGCTCGTAATCAGTTAAGAAGCCTTTTTTTGTGTGTAAATTTAGCGCTTTCCTTTTATTCTAAGATGCATCAGGTTTGGCTAACAGTCTGGACCTTCGTCCTGCGGCTCGTCCTGGAACGGGTAGCTGAGCGCCGGAGGGAAGCCCTGAGTCCGCGGCAGCTCGTCCAGCAGCACCAGGTCCTCCACCTCCCTGCCTCTGTAGCGCCGCCTGCAGATCTTTACCGTCACTTTCCGGCCCTGGAACACCTTCAGCGCCTCTTTGGAAGCCATGGCCTTTGCGGCCGCCTCGTCGCGCCCGTAGCCTGTACCCATGTAGACGGTCTGGCAGCGGATTTCGCACACGTGGCCATCCTTCTGCGTGCGTCCCGCCGGGAGGCCCGCAATGTCTTTCAGCGGCACGAACACGCATGTCACCGTCTGTTTGCACGACTCCACACAGCTGCGCAGGATCTCGAAGTGGTCCAGGTTGGGGCCGAAGCCGCCGGCTGACACCAGCTTCCATGCCACGGCCTTGTAGAGGCGGTTGAAGAAGGGCTGCTGCTCCGCAGGAGCCTGAGGCGGGGGCCCGGACTTCTGGACGGCAGATCGCGCCGCCGTTCTCCCGGACGGCCGGCCGTCGGCCTCGGTTCTGGACCGTTTCACACAGCCTTCGGGGTCGCCGTCTGGGAACGAAGACAGAACGTTGTTGATGCATAAGAAGACATGTTTAATGGTGAACAAAGAGCCGATGGTAAGGAAATATGAACCATCAACTAGAAAACGTCTCAGTTGTTGACTGTGTGGTGTCTTTAATGACTTGATATTGACTTTTATGATGAAAGCACTCTGAAGTGCCTTGTTGCTGAGATGTGCTATATAGACAGACTTGACTGACTGATTCATATGTTTCTTTTTTTTATTCAGCGTATTTTAAAAAATGTTTCCTTTATTAAGACAATCAGTCATCTTGATACAAGAGAAAACTCAGGTTTTTAAGAAAATGGACGCCATTTGTTGGTGAATGAGATCAATCCAGACTGATTTATTTTAAGGCTTTTTAAAAAATCGCAGGCCAGTAACTGTGTATGGCACTCTAAACACTCCATCAAAATTAGATGTCGTTTTTAAAATCCCAAGTTAAAGCAAACAAAACTCAAACAGCTCAGTAAAACCCAACTAGAGTCACTTTTATGAATCACAATAATGGAAATGTGGTTTTAATCACCGTCTGGGGCGCTGCGCTTTCCTCTGGCAGTGATTCCGTCTTTCGTCGTTTTGTGGACCGGCGGGTCCTGGACGGCGATCCCCTCGCCCATCTCCTTGATCTTGTCCATGACGGCCTGCGGGTAACTGAGACGGAGATGAGAGCAAAGTTACATCAGCTGGATGTGCAGAGAAGCTGGAAAAGCTCAGAAGGTTTTCTGGTTGTTGATATCTAAAATTAGTCCACTTTGGAATAAACTGCTCAAAGATGTTTGACTTCATTTCTTGATGGTAAAGCTGAAAATCGTTTCATTTTTATTAAAATGGTGAATAAACACAAAGTCACTCGACAGAATATTAGGGCCAAGGAACAATTTTTAATTATCAGAATAAAGTAGTAATATTATTAGCATCAAGCAGTAATTTTATGAAAACTACATAAAAATTAACAAAAAATTTAAATGAAGAATGTTGAGCACCTTGTGAAGTTATACTTTGGTATTGGTTTTGGAGATAAATACTTCTTTAAATTTATCTGCATTAATTTATGACTGAAATTTGAAACTATGTAGAAACAACGTTTATTATGAGGAAAAACACAGACTGAGCTGCTTATGTTAGATCTTGAGATCTTTTATACATTTTATACATTTTCTGATAAATTTAGCCTTTATTTAGCTAATGTTATGACTTTACTTTCTTCTTTAATCAAAATGATCATAGGCTGTTCCTTATACTCCATTGTACAACTCATAGAACAGACAATTTAAAATTAAACTTTTTGAAAATATTTTCTGTTTTTCATTTATATAGTGCGTAAACACAAATTTAAATCGGAAATGTTTTGAAGAAAAAAAATCTAAAACTTTATTTTTCAATAAAGCTAGCTTGGTGCTCTTGAGGCCCCCTGGTGGTGTGGAGGCACTAAGTAGCCGCATAACTCTCATATGCCTTGGGCCGACCCGAGTGACCTACCTGCAGCCGAGGAAGACGTGGTTGGCCCAGACCATGGACAGAGACAGCAGCCTGTCCAAACTGCTGTTGCAGGTCCCCGGCTTCACCGTGGGGAAAGCCTCCATGTTCCTCAGGATGAACTCCCTCCGAGCAGACCACTGCTTGTTGGTCTCACAGTAGCCCCGGAACGACTCGATCCACTGGGCCAGCTGCGGGTTCTGGCTCAGGTACTCTGAGACGTCATCTCCACATCTCACCCCCGCCATCCCTGATGGACACAGGGACAGTGATTCCCAAAACTTCCGATCTGAAGCAAAGCAGCAGACAAGTTAAAACGACTCAGATTAGCATTAACCAACATGAACAACAAGTAAGGATAGCTTAAGCCGCCGAATATCTCGTGTTGTGCTGCTGTTACCTCACCTGGTTGTGTAATTTAACCGACCAGAAATGTTACAAAGTGGTTCTCACCTGCTGACGATAAGTTGAACCAAACGTGAAGTCGAGAAACATTAGCTAAACCAGAAGGCTCACGAAGAACTACAAAGCATCGTTTATCTAACATGGGATAAGCAACAAGGCCGCCATTATTTTGGAGTCAATATCTCCTCGTTTAACAGTAAGAAACTCTCACATGCTGCGCTGTTTCTGTTGCGATATGCTGCTAGCTAGCTACATTGTCGAAAAGTGACGTAAAAACCGCGACTTAGAAGAAAAACTACAATTCCCACAGTTCGGACGTAAACTACCGGTTCCCATTCGCAAATGGCATAACAGTCGCAAATAAAGAGCAACTTTAAAAGACCCAGTCTGATTTTTGAGGCATATTTACTAATATTTTTAAAACAGACACAAACGAGTTAGCGTTGGCTAGCTTACGTTCGGCTGCTGTTGGTATCCATAGCAACCGCGGAAGTGCAAGCGTTCATCCAGTGACGGCTTCCGGTTGCTCTCAAGTCTGATGGCGGTTTGTTTTTGTCGGTGAATGGAAAAAATAAATAAAACTCTGCTTTGATTTATCTGGCTTTTCTTTTTTTAAAAATAATAATTTAAATATTAAATATGATTCACGAGCTGCTCTTGGCGCTCAGCGGATACCCCGGAACCATCTTCACATGGAACAAGCGGACTGGTTTACAGGTAAAACTGATGTAAAATGGATGCCTACTAGCTGTTTTGTGAATTGTAAAAATCAGCTCATTCATACTGAGCTGATTTTTATTACATGGGGGTAATTATTTGAGTAATTGTGGATTAAGAATTAAGGACTTCAAATAGTTTAGAAATGGCCATGTAACCCTTCCCAGATTGACAAGCCACAGCAGTTTCCTCTCCAAAGCATCAGAAATCATATGTACACTGCAAAACATCAAATCTTACCAGGTATTTTGGTATAATAGGAGTTTCACTGACAGATCATTTCACTTTCAATAAGACATTTTTTCATATTATAGATTAAAAATAAATGTGCCAGTGGAACTAGAACTTTTTTATTCCTATTAAGGAATTATTGACAAAAAACAACGTCCTATATCTTGCTGCAAAGTTACTTATTAGTTAGTTTTGTCCTTTTTAAAATGAACCAGGATATTTGCACTATAAAGAAAGCAAAAGTTCTTGGTCAGATCTTATGTTTTTACAGTGCTTTTTGAAGGTAAATTAGTTTGAAAAACTGTCATTTTTTATCTCAATTAAACGTCATATGTGGTTTCTCTCCTAGGTGTCCCAGGACCTTCCCTTCCTTCACCCCAGTGAGACCAGTGTCCTGAACCGGCTGTGCAAACTGGGCTCAGATTACATTCGCTTCACTGAGTTCATAGAGCAGCACACCGGCCACGTTCATCAACAAGTGAGTCTCTATGTTACATAACTTTATTTCCACATTAAAATTAGCAAATATGACAAACTCAATGAGTCCAACTGCACGTTTAATTCATGTTTACCTGGAATTGTTTAACTTTGAATTAAAATGTTGTTTTTCAGGAACATCACACCAACCAGCCGAACCAGACGGGTCTTCATGGAATCTACCTGCGAGCGTTTTGCACCGGACTGGACTCCATGCTACAGCCGTACCGACAGGTGCTGCTGGACCTCGAACAGGAAGTAAGATCACCGCACAGACATCACATAGCTAAGCACACAGCGGGACAGTCTTTTAACTTCCGCTTATGTTTCAGTTCCTGGGAGACCCACATCTGACGATATCCCACGTGAATTACAAGCTCGACCAGGTAACTCAGGGAATGAATGATTATGTATTTTACAAACGTGACAGTTTGACTGAACTTTTGCTTTTTTTAATTTAAGTTTCAGTTGCTGTTTCCCTCCGTTATCTTGGTGGTGGAAACTATAAAGTCACAGAAGGTAAGAAGCATTTAATGAGGAGAAGTTTGTGATCTACTACATTTCATTTTGATGTAAACTAATGGCCACAATAATACTGTGATGATAATTGTGATTTGGTATATAAAACAGCACTTCACAATTTAACCCTTTGCAGAAACTCATTGGAGATTCTGTTGCTGTTTTTTGACATATCTTCTGATATTGCAAAACTGTTGTTTTTGCCACTCGGATATAAAAAATATCTGAGTTTTAAGGGCTCCATTTCTTCTTTAAATGGACTCCTGTATGGAGCTAAATTAGGGCAATAAAGTTTGTTAAAAAAAACAAGAAACTACAAAATATTTTAAAACTGAAATAAAGTCTGAAACTAAAACAATTAAACTTTTAGAAAGTTTCAGTTTCAAAACTGAAACAACTGAAAACTTTTTTCCCGTTTAAAATCTTTATTTTCAGTATTTTTTTCAAGTCCTCTCATTTTTTCAGTTTCAAAAATGTTTTTCACTTTTAAAACTTTTTTTTTCAGATTCAATTAACTTTTCAGTTTCAAAACCTTTCTTTAGGTAATTCTTTTTTTCTTTTGAGCAAATTTTATGGCACCAATTTAGCTCCATACTCATGCTTTTAAAGCACAGTGGGATAACAGAGTCATCTGGCTGTCTTAGATCCATGGCTGTCAGATCCTGGAGACGGTGTACAAGCACAGCTGCGGGGGGCTTCCTCCGGTGCGCATGGCTTTAGAAAAGTAAGTCCGCTCCGGTTTCAAAGTTTGTTTTTGTTTAACTCTGAGATGCAGAACGAAACCCTCCTCTGATGCTTCTCTTCATGCTTCTCTTCGTGCTGCAGGATTCTGGCCGTGTGTCACGGTGTGATGTACAAGCAGCTCGCCGCCTGGATGCTGCACGGGCTGCTGCTGGACCAAAGCGAGGAGTTTTTCATCAAGCAGGGCCCCAGCGCAGGAGGCGCCGCCGCCAACCAGGACGAGGAGGAGGAGGACTTGGGACTGGGCGGTCTGAGTGGAAAACAGCTGAGAGAGCTGCAGGACCTGGTGAGGCGCTGCAAACACAACTTTACCACTTCAAATCTTACCTAAAAAATTGAAACAAATTTTGCTGGACAATAAATTTCCTCAGAAATTGTTGTGATAAATAAAAACTTGATTTTAATATAAATGTAATAATAATAATAATTCAAGGACACATTCTTAAAGATCAATAAATTTAAATTCCAATGAAGATTTTACTCTGGAACTGGAAGATATTTAAAATATCTAAAATAAATAAACAAAACAACAAATAAAAGGAATTATGACTTTTTTGAAAATGTCTCTGTGTGTCTCAGAGTCACATAAAGACAGTGACAAAGTCAGCTCTGTCTCCCTGTGTCCTTACTAATGTCCAGCGAGAGTGTTGGGTAATAGATCCAACATCAGCCTTCTCTCAAAACTTTTCTGGGATTAAAGTCGCATCAAGAGCTGCTGTTTTCTATTTTTATCATGCAACTCACTTTGAACTGCCTTATTGCTGTTAAAATAAAACAAACTTGATGGTTTCTAACTTTTGTCTTTTGCTCAGCGGCTGATCGAGGAGGAAAACATGCTGGCGCCGTCTCTGCAGCAGTTCTCTCTGCGAACAGAGATGCTGCCGTCTTACTTTCCCATCCGGGTGGCAGAGAAGATTCTGTTTGTGGGCGAGTCAGTTCAGATGTTTGAAAACCACAACCACAGCCCGTCCAGAGCCGGTACTGACCCGCAGACCTGCGGCCGTCATGGTGAGAGCGGCTCCTGGTTCTGATCGCTCTTCTGTTTCAGGCTCCATCCTGAAACACCAGGAGGACACGTTTGCTGCCGAGCTGCACAGACTCAAGCAGCAGCCTCTGTTCAGCTTGGTGGACTTTGAGAATGTGATCGACGGGATCCGGAGCACCGTGGCCGAGGTCGGTTCAGATGCTTAAAGTAACGCTTTTCTTCTCCAGCAGCCATTGTACGTGGTGGAACTCTGCTTGGGTTGGTAGGTAACAGGCCGGAGTTGCCAGGGAACATAGTGCCTGCTGACCAATCACATGACGTCTGACAGGTTTTTAAAACGGCTCCAAAAAACCTTTTTGTTATTGCCAAAAAACTGCAGTTTTTTTAAAGCACTGATTGTTTTTTAGAAGCAATAAAAACCCAAATGGGTGAATTAAATTATGCAAAATGTTAATTTGAATCATAGCTTCTGTTTAAAAATTAATTTGTGAAACTTTTGAAATCCAAGGAGATCACTGGTGGAAAGAAAATCCTGATTATCCAAAATGAAATCTCCAGAAAGCACTAATTTTATTGATCAGTAACGGGTTAATGGCCCCGCCCTGCTGGCCGGTGCAGATAACGTCTCTCTGCTCTGCAGCATCTCTGGACGCTGATGGTGGAGGAGGCGGATCTGCTGGAGCAGCTCAAGGTTTGTGATCACGCCGTTTGTTTTCTGGAGCAGAAACCTTTGCAGGACAGATGTGTGCTGACGTTTCCGTTTCCAGATCGTTAAGGATTTCTACCTGTTGGGCCGCGGGGAGCTCTACCAGGTTTTCATCGACCTCGCCCAGCAGATGCTGAAGGCGCCGCCAACGGCCGTCACTGAGCACGGTAAATATGGCCGCCAAGACGCTCACGCCCGCCCAGGGCTAGAGCAATTATTTGTCTTTAACTTTCTTTTCCTTTTCTTCTGTCTTTAGATTTTGTCTTGTCTTTCATTCTTTCTGCTTGTCTTTCCTTTTTCTTTTTCATTTTTTCTGTTCATCTTTCTGTTTGTCTTTTGTTTTTCTTTCTATTTTTTGTTTCTATTTTTTGTTTTTCTTTTTAACTTTCTGTTTGTTTCTGTTTCTTTCCTTTTTTATGCTGCCTGTTATTTTTATATTTTATATTTTTCTTTTTGAGTTTTGTTTTTTTTATTGTGTGTTTATTTTCCTTCCTTCTGGCTGGTAAATGTGTGAAATGTATTTTTCAGTCTTCTTGTTTCTGTGCTTTCTGCCTGCAGACGTGAACGTTGCCTTCCAGCAGGCGGCGCACAAGGTTCTCCTGGATGACGACAACCTGCTGCCTCTGCTGCATCTCACTGTGGACTACCAGGGGAAAGACGCCAAAGGTCAGCTCACAACTTCACTGCAACAACAAATCATTCAGCAGAGAAACGTCGTTAGATGAGGCAGCAAACGCTACCCGCTCATTTAAAGGCTCATCTGCTGTGAGGCAGAAATATTTGCACTCATATAAAACAATTTAGAATAATTTATGCCTTTTAAGCTGAAAATGCCAGAAGTTTGCTCTCTGGTACGTTTTCTTTACTACTACTTATTCCACAGTACTTTCTGGTACCTTGGGAGTATTTTATGAACATTCTGCAACTTCACCAGGTTTTTGTTTGAAACGTTTATTAAATTCTATTATACCGAAGAAAAAAGCACTAGCCGGTTATTTTCTGTAACCTTTGACGTATTTTAAAGTTTTTGGGGGATTACAACCTGCTTTCATCAACTTATGTTGTATTTTGTTGAACATTCACAAAGAAAACAGAAACAGTTAACAATCATAAATAAATTAACGAAAAGACTCCTCAGTTAAAACATTTACAGACAATTTCTTTTCAGAAGAGCCAAAAAACATTTTGAGTTCCTTTAGTTCCATGTTTTCTGCAGCTGGTTCCAGTGAGGCGATCAGATTTATTCAGGTTTGTGTTTCAGAGGCGTCGGGTCCCAGAGACGGAGCCACTCCTCCTCAGGACTCGTCTCCTCGGGAGGCTCCGCCCACCGGCTGGGCGGCCCTTGGCCTGGCCTACAAGGTCCAGTGGCCGCTGCACATCCTCTTCACTCCCGCCGTCCTGGAGAAGTGCGTATCTTTAAAGGGGCAGTACCACGTAAAATCTACTTTTTGCAAGTAGATTTTGTAGCATAAGAGGCGCTAAATTCCTGGTAATACTCCAATTTAACAAAATTTAATTGCCCCATAGAACATTACTTTACAAAAAATAGTGTTTTAACTATCAGTCATGACATACAATACACTTATTAAGCACAGAAAAGACTTCATACCTTTTCTCGTGGGATTCAAACCTTGCTGTTTTGCAGTGAAATTGTTGTCTTTTCGAAATAAAAGCTCACAAAATTAACTTTCACAGTAAACTTCCCGTTTTACAATCACACTGCAACACATTTATGTTTGACAAACCCTTTAATCTCCATGGCAACCATTCAAATGTGCAAAATGGCTCCTCCCCCACTCAGCTCCTTCAGACTAGCTGACAGCAATTAGCAAATACCTGCGGCATCCGTACATCTGCTGAGCTCGTTATAGGAGTTACTTCTCTGTTAAGGGGTTAATAAAGAATCCTGAAAGAGAAGGATCTTAAAGACACAGAGGCGCAGTTTCAATGGGTTTAAATGAGGAAGTAAAAATTATTTTAAGACATATTTGATATGTAAGTAGACATGGTTACTTGGATCATGCTATAAAATGATGATTTGTCTCTGGAAAACAACGCACGGGCCCTTTAAGTAGCTCTATTCTCTGACGTCAACCTTCATCTCCACTTCCTGTGCGTCAGGTACAACGTGGTGTTCAGGTACCTGCTCAGCGTGCGGCGGGTCCAGTCGCAGCTGCAGCACTGCTGGGCTCTGCAGATGCAGAGGAAGCACCTGAAGTCCAGCCAATCAGATGCAGTGAAGTGGAGGCTACGCAACCACATGGCGTTCCTCATCGACAACCTGCAGTACTACCTGCAGGTAAAATGCTGCAAACAATTAATTGACTCCTTGATTAATGGTTTATTAGTTTACGATGAGTTTCAATCTATTAACTAAAAGTCTCCAATATGGCCGCATTCCACCAGAGGGCGCTGCTGCTCAATATGGTTCACAATAAAAAATTATGTAAAATTTTGTGCTTCATGTGGAAATGCAGTCGATTGTCTTCCTGGAGGAGAAAACTGAGGTTTTGAAGAAAATGATGGCTTATAAATTACCGATTAATTTATAAGCCATCATGTAGTCGACTAACTATAGTTTTATGAAACGATCAGATCAGTCAATTTCAGGTCATTAATTGATCATTTGAACGGCCTGCGGCTCGTCGCCAGGTGGACGTCCTGGAGTCTCAGTTCTCTCAGCTGCTGCAGCAGATCAACTCCACCAGAGACTTTGAGAGCATCCGATTGGCCCACGATCATTTCCTCAGCAACCTGCTGGCTCAGTCCTTCATCCTGCTCAAGCCGGTACGTCTGATGAACGTCCAAAGGTCAAGAGTCATTTGTGCTGCTTCTGTTCTGAAGACATTAATGAAAGATTAAAGATCAAAAGTTCAACCCGCCATGTTACCCAAATCAAAATGGTGTCAAATGTTTGTGCTGCATTTGTTTTGAAAATATTCTTGAAAGCTAAATGTGAAGCTGGAATGGGAATGGTTGACCTCTGATGACCTCTGTAAGTTTTAATTATCATCTTTAAAATAATAGCAGCACAAACTAATATCTTTGCGGCACAAATGTTTTGTGTGATTCAAACTGTCATTAATATCTTCACCATCACAAGCAGAAGAGTCTTGCTGCATAGACATGACTGAGTTGACCGACACTAATTTGTTAGATTTGAATAAGGTCAAAGGTCGTCCAGTGGGTGTCTCACCTCCAGTGCGTTGGCCTGCAGGTTTTCCACTGTCTGAGCGAGATCCTGGACTTGTGTCAGAGCTTCTGCTCTCTGGTGGGGCAGAGCGCGGCGCCGCTGGACGATCGCGGAGCAACTCAGCAGCTGGACCTGCTGGTAAAGGTAAGCCCCGCCCACCCGGCGCCGGCCGCGGGTCCGACTCGGTGCTGACGCGGTGTCGTTTCAGGGTTTCCGGCGCCAGTCGTCCCTGCTCTTCAAAATCCTCTCCAGCGTGAGAAACCATCAGATCAACTCGGACCTGGCGCAGCTGCTGCTGCGTCTGGACTACAACAAGTACTACACACAGGCCGGCGGCACGCTGGGCGGGTACGACCCACTCTGCAACCAGAACCTCCCACAGGAACTACCACGGCGCCGCAGGGCCAGAGTACATAGAGAGGAACAAGGGAGAAAATGTCCGCCAAGAATCACAAATTTGGAGAATAATCTGACGTTTTTTAGAAAAAAATTACATTTTGAGATTAATCTCTTTCCTTTTTTTTTTTTTTTTTAAAAAGAACACTTTGGAGTTTGAACAGTTGAAAATTTTCTAGAAATTTGAGTTTCCAATGAACAAGAATTTGACTGTTTCTAAGTGTTTTTATTCTATTAAATGTTTGACTTTCTGAACTCAGAAATGTTCTTGTTTTTTCCCTAAAAGTTCAGATTTATCTCAAAATTTCTGAGTTTTTCAGCATAAACTTACTGTTCCTTCTTTTTTATGTAAAATGGCCCTGAGCTGCCGTGGCAGGATGATCCAAACTGTTTATCTAATAAAAATTTCTTTCCAGGGTTTAAGAGGAGCCGGAAGACGAGAACCAGAAAATTCACCTCGATCTCAAACTCCTCCGGACTCGTTGCTTCAGTCGCCGTTTGGACTTTTCACACAGTTAAAGCAGCAGTTTAGGCTCATTTCTCACATAAAAGAATATTTAGGCTGCTTAGTAAAACCGGAAGGATTTAAAATATATTTTTGGGCTGGAGTACTGGGAATGTTGCACATTAGGCTGGGTTGAGGTTCTAACGACTCCAGCAGATTCATTCAGATTCCTGCAAGAACAAATAAGTCACAGTGAAGTTCTTCCATCACAAAACTGAAAATAAAAGAAAAAGGATTGGCTAATCAATCAGCATTCAACTTATTAAATGCCCACATATTCCTCCAAATAAAATTTATCCAAATTTCATTTTTAAACCAATGTTTAATTTCATAAAGAATCATGTTAATCTAATGTATTTGATGCATTTACTTTCTTTTTTTACAAGTTAGAAAAGTGTAAATATTTGACTGAATACTTGGTTCTGGAGATATTTTGGGGCTCTTGATTCCTGCAGTGATGTGAGGATTTAGCGTCTCCATCCAACAGGGAGGTGAGGAAAAGAAACATTTTCACTACTCAGACATTTTCTAGACAAAAAACAAGGACTTTTTTCAGTGCTAGTAACTGATCATTTGTGAGAAGAAAAAAATAAAGTTACTTAGAAATTTCAGAGTTTGAAAAGTGGAAAAATTCAGTTTTAGAAATTTTCTGATTAGTCTCAAAATGTCTTTTCCAGCACATTTTTGACTTAAAACATTTCCAAGTTTTATTTAAAAAAAGTTTGGAGATTAGTCAATATTGTTGAATTTTTCAGTACTTTTTATTTCCTCATAAATTTTTTAAAAAAAAAAGCAAAATATGGCCTGTTTTTTGTTAATTAGGACATTTTTTAACTTTCTAAGGAAAAAACATTCTGAGATTTAACTCAACTTTTTAGTTTTTTCTAGAAAAAAAACTTCAAGCTCAGAAATATCCAAGTTTTTTCTAGAAAATTTCTGAGAAAGAATCTCAACATCTGAGTTTTTTCGGCCTAAATGCTCCAATTTGCCGTTGTAAGGGAGAAACAAACATGTCAGAAGCTTTTTGGGCCATTTATATGTGATTAGTTTCCATCCAGACTCAAAAATGATTTTATATCATTAAATACCAACATGTGAATTTTTTTCTGCAGCTTTTGCAGGTATTCTGTCCAGCACGTGACTCTGATACATCTAATGTATTAAATGTAAATATATTGTGTAAAAATAAATCCAGGGAAGTTAAAATGAAACATGTCACAATTTATTGTCCCATAAAAACACATTTATGTACAGCAGAGGCATGCAGAACACTGAGCTTGGTCAAAGGCCTTACGGAGTCAGGTTATGAGGAAGAGAAGGAGGAAGGAGAGCACTGAGGCCGGTTGTTAAAACCCAGATGCTCCCCGCAGATTACGCTCTGGACGAGCCACTCCGGAGACACGATCGGCACTTCCTGTGATGTCACACTCCGCTCCACCGCTGGTGGACAGGTGTGGTCCGCCACCACCACGTCGTACTTCCCAGCAGGAATCTCTGGAAGGAAGAAACAACAGTCAGCAATGTTTGGTCCAACGGTCGGCCATGTTTGGTCCAACGGTCAGCTATGTTTGGTCCAACGGTCGGCCATGTTTGGTCCAACGGTCAGCTGTGTTTGGTCCAACGGTCGGCCGTGTTTGGTCCAACGGTCGGCCGTGTTTGGTCCAACGGTCGGCCGTGTTTGGTCCAACGGTCGGCCGTGTTTGGTCCAACGGTCGGCTATGTTTGGTCCAACGGTCGGCCATGTTTGGTCCAACGGTCGGCTATGTTTGGTCCAACGGTCAGCTGTGTTTGGTCCAACGGTCGGCCATGTTTGGTCCAACGGTCAGCTGTGTTTGGTCCAACGGTCGGCCGTGTTTGGTCCAACGGTCGGCCGTGTTTGGTCCAACGGTCGGCCGTGTTTGGTCCAACGGTCGGCCGTGTTTGGTCCAACGGTCGGCCATGTTTGGTCCAACGGTCGGCTATGTTTAGTCCAACGGTCGGCCATGTTTGGTCCAACGGTCGGCTATGTTTGGTCCAACGGTCAGCTGTGTTTGGTCCAACGGTCAGCTGTGTTTGGTCCAACGGTCGGCCGTGTTTGGTCCAACGGTCGGCCATGTTTGGTCCAACGGTCGGCCGTGTTTGGTCCAACGGTCGGCCATGTTTGCCACGTTTTCCCCTGACATTTCAAGGAGAATTTTGGGATGTGGGTCTGGTACCAGTACCGGATGCATCGCCGTCGGTCTGGTGCTGCCGTACGGAGGAAGCTCCGCCCATCGTCACCAGCTGGGCCCACAATTCGTTCGGCTTCTTGGACACCAGAAGGACCCGGAGTGCTTTGAATGGGCTGCAGCGCGGATGCCTGATTGAAAAAAACTAATTAAAATCACCTGAAATGATGGAAGAGGAGGATCAGAGCCACTGAGAGAAAAAGTCAGAATTCAAAGTTTGACAGTAAAGTCACATTTTTTCCCCAGTGTATTAATCCTGTTCCGTCTGAAACAGAACCTGCGGCCCGGTTAAGCTAGCGCGGCGGCGCCTCACCACTCCACGATGGCGTCGTCGGGGCCGACGCCGGCCGGCAGCAGGTAGCTCCTGTAGTTCAGCAGCTTGTTCTCCTTGCAGCAGTCACGCACCCAGATGTGGGAGACGCACGGAACGCCGCTGGCCAAACACAGCAGGTACTTCCTGGTTCGGCAGTGCTGGTCGGCGATGAGCAGGCTCTGATAGGCTGCCTGGCACTGAAGAAAACAAACGAAACGAGGCAGAACCGTGTGGTGGAGGTGAATCAGATCAAACTTTTCACAATTTGTCTCAAACTGTTGCAACATATATTTTATAAGTTACATCCCACAGCTTTAAAGGTATAAAGTTCACAAACAAAAGGTGTGTCACAATGTTTGTACTTTGTTCCTCGTACTTTGATATTTTTATTAATTAGAATTCCTTCATCCCCGAATCTTTGACTGATATCATTAAAAGATCTGCACTAAAGGAATAAGCAGTAATTTTTAATAATTATCAACAGACTTGTTATTTGTGAGTTCATACCTGCTCCTCGTTGAAATCGGGCAGGATGAAGCCGCCGCCAGCCTGCAGCTGGGATTCTGTGTACGGTTTGTTGTACGGACCCGTCTGGACGTAATCTGGGCCGAGAATAAAACGTCACCAAAACGAAGAAATCAACCAGGAAACTCCAGATCAAAGAAAGGTTCTGGATCTGCTGAAGCAGCTCACCCTCCTCATCGTCGCTGGTGACCTTGTTGCTCATCCGGTCGACCTCTGACGACGCCGTCAGCATGAAGGCAAAGCCCATGAACAGAGACGAGTTCTGGGGCAGCGGGCCGTGGGTCTCCACGACGTCGCTGGGCCGACCCGGCAGGTCGGAGCCGCTGCCGGACGTGTTGCACACGCTGAGCCGCTGGCCTGAAGATCCGCCAGAAAGCAGAGAGCGTTACAGAGGAACAGGAAGGGCGGCCATTTTAAATAGAACGAGCCAATCCCAGGATTCCTTCAGGTTCTCCTCGTCTGGATCTAAAACTGATCAAAGGTCTACAGAACCAATCTGGACCATTTTTAATGTGTAGAAGAATAAAAGTTTTGGATGGATGCATGTTTTGATGGAAAGATGATATTTTAAAATAGATTGATGAATTGAAGATTTTTAGATGTTGAGGCAGAAATCCTGAAGTTTCCTTCAAACATCCCATAATTCCAGAGTCGATGTAGAACGGTGACGGGAAAACACTTCAGTTACCAAACAGCTCACTAAAACAACTCAGAATGAGTTAAAAAGAAACATTTTTAATCTGATCTTTTCACCACCACATGATCCCGACAGGGTCAAAGGTCACACACACCAGGTGAATCGGCCCTCCACCTGTGCACACGCACCAATCAGCAGCTCGTTACCCGCTCAGCCTCAGCAGCAGCCGTCGCTCAGGAGGATGGAGGCGCCGGGCCGAGAGCGGGCCACATCGTCATGGTAACGGGTCACACACAACAGATTTCACAACAATCACAACAGTTTCTGGTGGCGAAGCTCGAGCAACCGTCAGAGCAAATACAACCCTAAAAGTCCTTCCGTAAAAGATTTATATCATAAACGTTAGATCATAATTTAGGTTAAAATCCAGAAAACGGAGCAAAGGGTTAAAGCAAGCGAAGGAAAACCAGCAATTCTGACTTTTGAGCTCAGAATTAAACTCAGGATTTAAAAAAACTGTAAAAATTCTGTTAAAAAAAAAAAACAGAATTCTGAGAAAAAAATTATTCTAAGAAAGAAACATATCAGAAGTTTGATAAAAACAACAGAATTTGGTGAAAAAAAGTCAAAACTAAAAAATCCAGAATTCTGAAAAAAAGGCAAAATTCTGACAGAAAAAAACAATTCAGAGAAAAAAAAATGGAATTCTAAGATTAAAATCAATTATTTTGGTCCTTTACGGGCGTTAATCATCTTGGGTACAAAAATCATTTTCCTCTCATTAAAATCTAAATTTTCAAATCAGAATTTCATTCAATGGATCCATGAAGCCCCGCCCCGTTTAAGCCCCTCCCCCAGTCCATTCAGACCCAGTCAGGGTCCAGGAGGGCGGAGCCCGTACCAGCTCTGGCTCCTCCCCCTCTGCGCCCCCTCTTCGACGGCGTCTTGTTCTCCTCGGACGGAACCAGCTTCCTCTTGCCGGACGGGCCGGGGGACCGGGCGCCGCCGGAGGAGCTGCGGCGCGGCGTGTTGGCGCCCCCTGGGGTTCCTCTGCGCCGCCTCTTCCCCTCCACCAGGTTATCTGAGGAACACAAAGGACCTAACTGTAACCACAGAAAGTTAGTGTGGACGCACTGAAGAGCGCGTCCACACTCTTCAGTGCGGAGGCCGTTACTGACTCAAACCTCCTTCACATGGAGACATTTTACTTTTATGCATTTGGGCCTTTCAGCCACATGGAAACTCACTTTAATATCGCTGATATTTTTAAGAAATCAAAAAATCTCAGGTTTTCTAGGAAGAAAAACAGAAATACAGACATTTCTAAGTTAGAAAAATTTCTAAAATGTTCAACTTTTCAAACATTGAAATTTTGAGGTTTTTTTCTTTAACATTTCTTAGATCAATCTGAACATTTCTGACTTTTCTTTAGAAAATGTTCTCCTTTTCAAACTCAGAAATGCAAATCTTTCCTCCAAAAAACATGCAAGTTTTAAAAGCTGGACAATTTCAACTTCTGAAATTCAACTTTTGCAACTGAAATTTCACATTATTCTCCTTAAATATTTGAAATTGATCTAATTTCCAGCAAATTTAAAATTTTTCAAATTGAAATTTCCATCATTTGTCTAGAAAACTTCTGAGATTAATCTCAAAGTTGTTGACTTCTTTCTAGAAAAAAACTAGACTTTTCAAATATAGAAATTTTCCTCTTTTATGACAAATCTCTGAGATTTTTGGGGTGAATAAATTCTTCTTTCTATCCACAACGCTCATACAGTCAACTTGTGTTTTAGTAACTTTTGATGCCAATACATTGTTTTTAAGTATTTGTATGTAAACCAGTCCACACAAACTAACCTTCTGGCCCCAAACAGGAAGTCATGGTTGTGTGGAAGTTATCTGATTGGCTGACACAGGTTTCAGCTTAGCGCTACACCGCCCCCTGTGGGTGTGGCATGTTTAAAGCTACACTGTGTGGCGTATTGGTGAAGGTTCTCAGGGTTTCGTACCCAGGCTGATGTCGGAGGCTTTGGTCAGCGGGGTGGTGGGCTCGTAGGGCCCCAGGCTGTGCTGCTCCCTCAGCTTGTTGCCCTGATCCAGGGACAGGATGACCGCCGTCCGGTTGTACCACTGCCTCTGGCCGTCCTTCTCCACGCTGTAGAAAAGATCTTGGCCTTCTGTTTTGTGGCCCTTGACGACCCCTACAGAGGACAGGAGGACCATCACAAGAACACGTAAGACATTCTCACAGATCAATGAACTTTAAATTCTAGTGAATATTTAAGACTCGGAACTGAAAGGCATTTTAAATATCCAAAATTATTTCCTCTGATTGATTAACTGCAAGGCTTCCTCCTCGTCTTCCTCACCGATGCTGAAGTACTCGTCCTCCAGCAGCGCCGTGACCTCCGTCTCCAGCGGGATGGGGTCGCACAGCAGGATGTCCTTCCCCGCCACCTCGCACTCGTAGCCGTCGTCGAAGCGGAGCCGGAAGCGGCTGTCGCCGGCGTCCTTCACGATCCGGCCAGAGTAGAAGTAGCCGTTGGACGTCCACTTGGCGACGACGCGCAGACCGACGAAGCTGCTGCCGGCCGACAGCGGCGCCTCCGGCGACGAGCGCAGGGAGTCGGAGCGGCCGGGCGCGTAGGCGTCCGACGGGCTGGCGGGGAGCCGCGGCGGCAGCATGCAGGCGAACGGCTCGTCCTCAGAGGAGAAGTGAGTCTGGGCGAGAGCGCCGAGCCTCTGCAGAGGGCCGGCGCCGCCGCCCCTTTAAGAGACACACAGAAACATAGTCAAACCTCCGTGGTCACGCTGTCGGCCCATCTTTGACTCCCTCTAAACCAGGCATGTCAAACTCCAGGCCTTGAGGGCCGCTGTCCTGCAGTTTTTAGATGTGCCACAGGAACAAAACACAGGAATGAAATGGCTTAATTACCTCCTCCTTGTGACCTAATTATTGTATTCAGGTGGTGCAGCAGAGGCTCATCTAAAGGTTGCAGGACTCCGGCCCTCCAGGACTGGATGTTGACACGCCTGCTCTAAACCTTCGTTGTGTAGCTTTTATAGGAAATGTGGTTTTACATATTTGTTCAAACTAGTCAAGTTTAACATGAGAAACAATTTACTGTTGCATAAAAACCATTTATCTGACATGATCACTAACTAGCCTAGCATTAGCTGCAGCGCAACAGAGAACAAAGGGCAGAGATGATTGACAGCACTAAGACCCGCCTTCTGGCTGTGATTGGTTGTTCTAGTTAGTACTAGTAGTTATTTTGGTGTAAATTGCTCATAAAGAGCTCTGCAGTCAAATTTAAATATTACCATTAACAAGCATAAAAAGTAAAACATCTGAATTAATCAAAGATCTGCTGTCTGAGCGAGACGTTCATCAGACTCTTAATTGAGTTTTACTGATTGTTTTTAATTTTTGCCAATGTCTGTTTTAAGGGCTGCACACAATTATTTGAGCTCATTTAGTTATTCTGCTGATTAATCAGGTTCACAAAAATTGGTACAATTTGGTGATTTCTCATTTAAGCCTTAGTATACAATATTAGATAAACCTTAAAAGGTGCAAATAAAGAAATAATTCATTTTTTTAAATAAGAAATTAAACATGTTATTGCCTAAAATGTAACAGTTCTGTCAAGACTCGTTATTTGTAATCAAGTTAAAATTATTAGACATAATTTTCTTCCAATGGAAAATACAACATGCCACATAAAGTACAGAGATTTTATAAGTAGAGCAATATTTATCCAGAGACTTTTACTGAAATGTTAACTTTGTTAAAGCAGCTTTTAATTTAAAAACTGGCTAAATATAGCAAACATTATGAAATAAAGTGATTTAAATCTGTTTTAACAGATTAAATCTTTTCAATGTGGCCTAAAATATGAGAAAACAAAATGCCTTTTTATTAACTTGGACAACATGCAAACGTCCAATTACATCTCTTTCCTAAAATCTGAATAAAAGTTTGCTTTATTTGTTTAATTTTAGATTTGAACCACTAGTTTCGTCCCTGAGATACAGTTTTATTTTTCTAATAAAACAAATCAGACATAGTTTGGTGATTCTCTGTTTGAAGCGTGTTAATTCCAGTGTTAGTGAAGAACAGAAGGAAGCGAAGGGTTAACTGAGGAGTGGCGGTGCAGCCTGCTGTGGGCGGAGCCTCAGGCCAGACTCACCTGGATGGGGAGGAGCGGGACGGGGGCCGGCCCCTTCGGGCCCTTCCTCTGGGGGTCAGCGGAACGTAGCTGCCGCCGCCTCTGCCCACAGTGACCACCGACCCTGCCCTTTGACCCCTGTGACCCCTCTGTGGATGCCCACCTCCCCTCCTGGGGCTGCAGACACACAGAGGGGACGAACGGAGTCGGACTGGCTGCACAGGCATTGACCCGAGCGGACGTCTTAAAGGGGCAGTATCATGTTAAAGAAGCTTTTTTACATGCTCTGCCACTCAGCTCCTCCCCCACTCAGCAAACCCCCACCCACCTCCTCTCCCACCCAGCTCCTCCCCCGCCCAGCTCCTCCCCACTCAGCTCCTCCCCCGCCCTGCTCCTCCCCACTCAGCAAACCCCCACCCTGCTCCTCCCCCACCCACCTCCTCCCCCGCCCACCTCCTCCCCCGCCCAGCTCCTCCCCCACTCAGCTCCTCCCCCAACATTAACAACGTTTAGCAATGTTGTTAATGTTGCTAAAGGTTAATAGAGGAGCCATGTTGTGATGGCTTCATCAAGGTGGAGCTTCAGAAAGAGCAGGAGCCTCTTAAAGAGACAAAAGCCCAATTTCAAGGTGTAACACCAGGAGGTGAAATTTCTTTTCAGTCATATCTGACACATGTAGCATTTTTATATTCATGTTTAATGTTACTGTTTTCATCCAGAAAATGAACAGGGATGGAGGAAGGAAGGGCAAGAAGACGTTCCTCTGCGGCGGCGGCGCCACCGTAAAACGATTCTGTTCCAATGAAATCTGGAGTCGAAGGTATTATTAATTCAGCGCAGTGAGGCACAGCAACGGGAGATTTAAGGCAGAAAAACAATCTTTCTTTCTTTTTCTCATTCTGTGTCTGCTGCGCTACACGCAGACGCGTTGCCATAGCAACTGACTGACAACAACTCCGCTTATGTTTCATCAACGTAACGTATTCAACACCAAGAAACACTCAAATATTTCCCCCACAGAAAACAGAACATTCAGTCGGTTCCAGCAGTTCATTGTTAGTCTTGATGTTTTGCAATATCCAATATGTGATCGCTGTGTTGGATTAGCCTCCGCTGCTATTAGCTAATTAACACAGTACTGGTTGACTAGCTGGTTTAAACTCCTGCTTTACTGATGTTCTGTGAGAGTTGATGTTTAGGTCGGCTGTTTTTCACAGAGTTCCACGTCACATCCACAAGTTAAGATAATCAAAGTCAAGCTAGCATAACTGACCTACTTTCTTCTCCCTCGCTATTTAAAAAAAAAATCTTATCTAGTTGCTGTAGTGTTGACAATTCGTAGTTTTAACTGAAAGTAACACAGTAAGTGAATTGTGCTATAAAAATCCTGGAAGACCCGATACTGCCCCTTTAAACGGACCCAGACTGGCGCCTGTGGCAACCTGCACCAGGCGGAGGTCAATGAACCACTGAGAAATCAGGTTAGAAAGTCAGAAGAAGTGAAGAAGCGGCGGCTCTGCATGCAGGAAGAGGACAGGAAAAAGGAGGAGAACCGGGTCAGGTTGGTACCTGACGGATCGGAACCCTCTGCTGGGCGGCATGATGAAGTCGGGTCTGCTGGGGCCGGTGCTGCCACTCGTCCCTCCGGAGCTGTGATGCAGGCTGGATGCCTTGGAGGACAGGGAGCTGATGTCGCCAAGGTCACCGGAGGTCACAGAGCTGCTGCCGGTGCGGCACGGAGAAATGTCGCTGTCCAGAACCTGGCAGTCCACCACAGGCTCCTCGTTCTCCTGACAACAAACAGGACGGTCCAATACAGTGGGATTCTGATGGATTTTTTTCCTTCCACTCAACTTTCTATGAATATGCTGAAATACACTCAAGCTTCTTCAGCAGAGACCTTTTCTGGACATCAGACAGTTTAATCCCAATTCAGCCGTTAAATGACATTTAATCAATTAAAATTCTTATTTCATGTAATATTCACATTTTCTTTTAATTCTAGTTTTTTATAAAAGGTAAGAAATATTTATAAAAATTACACAATCCAAACACCAAATGGAAACCAGGAAGGAGCTGTCCTACCATAACAAATGTAAACAGGAGGGAGGGAGGAAGCAAGGAAAGAAGGGTTTCTGGCGTCACGACCTCTGAACTCTTCCAATAAATTTGCCAGCCCCCAGTGATCTTTGACCCCTGGTACCTCTGTGACCCGGCGGTCCACCTCCCTGCCGTCTTCGTAGTAAACGTCTGTGATGATCCGCGTCACGGTGGTCCGGACCTCCTGGATGGTGCGGACGTGCCGACGGTGGGCCGGCGCCGTGGTTCTCCTGAACGACGGCGTCTCCGGCTCGCCCTTCAGAGACAAACGCAGAGAGTCAGCAGAGAGAGCGACGCACTTCCTGTCAACCACGACGGCAACGGCGAAGCCGCACCCGGCCGCCAGGAGAGCGAGGGCCCGACCCGTCCACACCGGTCTGCTGGGAGGCGATCCGCTGCCGGGCCTGAAAGAACCAGAGGTTCTGATGAGTCCGATTCCGATAGACTGAATCTCCAGCACACAACAGATCCCACAAAAACAATCAGCTCAATGATGAGGCTAACTCTGTTGCTGCCGCACTTTTTCCTTCCACTCAACTTTCTACTTTCTATGAATATGCAGCACTGCAGCTTCTTAGCAAAGCCCTTCTTCTGGACTGTGAGGAATGGAGGGATGTATGGAAAGATCTCCTTCCTGAGAAAGATGTCAGGAAGGAACAAAGGAAGAAAGTCCTAAAAATGACAAAAGGAGAAGAAATATGAAAATGGACAGAAGGAAGGAAGAAAAAGCAGACAAAAAGGAAGGAAAGTAGGAAGTCACATGATGTTTACATCTATTTATTATAAATGTTGCTCCCCACTGTTTTTTTCTTTACGCAAAATAAAATAAAATGTTTGACTGAACCAGTAAAATTAACTTTCCAAAGAACAGATATTGAAAAAAGTTCACATGAGATTATCATATATGCTACATGTGTCAAACTGAAGGCCCGAGGGCCAAACCTGGCCCGCCTCAGCTTTTTATGTGACCCTCTGGACTCCAAATTATAGCAACAGGCCCGTCCAGCTTTTCACAAATAACTGCAAAATTCACACAAAAATTAAACAGATCCCCACATTTTTTCTGATTTTATCAACTTTTTTTTTTCAAAATTACCCAAAAACATTTGGATTCAGTTGACTGCTGTAACTTGATGGTAAGTTATATTCCACGACTGACAGAGCAATTAATACAACATTAACATCATATTAGCGCAAATATTGTAAAAATTCCTTCCAAATATTTCTAAATTAACACACAAAATCTGTTATGTTGATTACAGAAAAGCACAAAAACAATCCTGGATGGACTGATTAGTGTGAAGATGTTCAATATTATATTTTAAGTAACAGTTAGTGATGCTGAAACACCAATTTATTGATATTTTAACCATTTAATAGTTTTTATCCAGATGTTCCGGCCCAACAGGCCCTTTAAGAACGTTCCGGTTTTTGATCTGGACCCAAATGGAAATGAGTTTCATGTCCTGATATTCGGGATAAAACAAGAGAATCCTGTTTTGAATGTAAACAAGAATGAAGATATTTGGAGGTGGAATGATGTCACAGCACCAGCAAAGATGTGATGTCACTGGCGATGCAGTCTGTGATGTCATCAACTGCAGAATCGTATGGAACACAATTCTGCATATTTGTCATTGCTTGCAATACCCCTGACCAGTTCAGACGCCCGCAAAGCACTTTCCAATCGACCGTTCACTTGTTTTCGAAATCGACAACTTTAGTGATTTTACTGGAATAAAAATGTCTCAAAATACAGAAAGACACCAGAACCGCAGACTGGCCCACCTGGAGGAGGAGCTGGAAGAAACCAAATTCCAGCTGCAGAAACAAACGGAGCTCAAAGTGGGATTTTTCAACAAGGCCCACAGAGCAACTGAGGAGCTGAAGAGACTCCAGAGATATACTGACACCGAAACACTGAAAGTTGTTGCTATTGCTTGTCAGGCTCACTTCAGTGTGGAAGACCTGGATAAAGAGGAGCTGCAACAAAAATACGAAGATTTAAAGGTGTCTCAGTTCCACATCCAGGACGCACTGCTGGCAGAAATGCATGATGAGAAGCAGCGAAATAAAGTCCTGGAAGACAAGCTGGATGACCTGAAGGCTTCGTATGAGGAGCTGCGCCGTAAATACGAAGCAGACGTTGGTGATGAGGCAAAGCTACATGAGGAACAAGCCTGGAGAAGCTCAGAGTGGAGAAAGACAACATCATACATGACATGGCCCAAAAGATCGACCTCCTGCAAGAAAATGAAAAACGTTTACAAGACGAACTTGAGGAGAGCAAACGTGGAACAAACGAACAATCAAAATTAATAAACGAGTTAAAGCAGCAGGCGGAGATTTACCAAGACAAAATAAAGAAAGCGGAAGCTGCACTTTACAAAGAAAGAAAAGAAAATGTCATCCTTGGATTAAACTACACTGTATTGATTGAACAATTTGAAAAGCTGGAGACACAGAAAGAAACTCTGATGGAGAAATCAGAGGAGGACACGGCGCTGGTGGAGAAAATAAGAAAGGAGTACGCCATCCTCCAACGCAAAGCAAACCAGGACGCCAAATTCCTGAAGAAAAACGCAAAGATTTTAAAGAAAGAATTGGATGAGAGCAAAACATTTTATAACAAGCTCAAACTTAAATTTAACATGGATATTACTGGATTAAAGGAGGAGATGGAAAGATGTAAACAGAAAGTACAACAAGAGAAAGACGCCTCATTGCAATCAGCGACTGAGAAGCAGCAGCTCATCGACAGCCTGCGACAGGAAAACGCCGTCCTGGAGGAAAACACACGGCGAGAAATCCAGGTCCTCCAGGACAAGGACAGAAATGCACAGGATGAACTGGAGACGCTCAGAGTTTTGTTCAAGGAGCTGCAGTGTTCTTACATTCATGATGTTAATATGTTGAAGACACAGGCAGAGCAGTTCCAGGAAGAAATAAGCAGAATGAAGCAAGAATGGAGACAACCAGAGATAAACTGCAGCCAGACACTGAGGAAGATCAGCATGAAGATCAGGAAACTACAGTTTCACAACAAGAGGAGGAAAACCGGGTCGACCCGGTTATGGATTCTAGTCATCATATTTCCTCGGAGGAGGATTTAGCAAGAGAACCAATACCAGGATGTTCAAATGAACTGGAATCCATACAAGACGACATCGATGAGGAAACCATCCAGCAGGATTTAGAGACTCCAGATATGAACAGCAAACAAGAAGGAAAGAAGAAAAACCAAAGACTCCAATTTGGAAAAAAATTCGAAACATCTTTAGATTGAAGAAGACAAAAAAAACAACACAGGAGTGAATTCAATAAAAAACGAGGCCTGTGGCGATTCGGCCTGTTGATAACAGATTTTACTGAGCGATTTAATCGTCTCAAAAAAATTATCGCGATAAACTATAATATTGTTTGAAGATCTTTTCACACTGATTTAATGGATATTACGTAATAATACATGCGACTTCCTGCCACAGATAGATACACTTTACTTTCAAAACAACACAGAGAGGAATCCTGAACAGCTGACACGGTGCAACCCGAAGTCCAGCAGACATCGGAGATGATATGTGGAAACATGAATGTTTAACCAACATTTCATGCAAAGAAAATATAAATAACTCGGGGAGGAGTTGGAGCGAAATTTCTACCAGAAAACCTGGTAACTTTTCAGCTGTTCTTCGTTAAGGTGACATAAAATGGTTATAATGATTTTCATTCAGTCAGACTGACACTCGCTACATGCATTGCTGGTAGATTGTAGTAAGGAATTGATTAAGGTTTCAATATTAGTGAACTGGATTTATTATTTTGTGTCCATTGTTGGACACAACACGGTTCGATCGAACCGTTATAGCCAGGATTTCTGTCGGCTGATGTGTCTCTCAGGTTTTGATAATGGCCGACAATCGGCGACATCAGATGGTGCAGCGCGCGCTGGGCGTTACGCTAAGGAAGTAAGGAAGGGAGGGTCAGTGGAGAGCAGCGGAGTTTCATTCAGTGTCATCAACAGTAAGAGAAAAAGGCAGGAAGAAACGTCTTTGCACCACATTGTTCTCATTTTCTCATGTTAAAAACAACATTCTTCTTCTCTCATTTCCTCCCTTTCTTACATAATTTATATGTTACTTAATATTCATACAGTTTCACACATACATGCACATTTCACGTCCCCTCCATGGCTGCCACCTTATCATGGTGGGGGGTTTGAGTGTCCCAGTGATCCTAGGAGTTCTGCTGTCGGGGCTTCATGCCTCTGGTTGGGCCACCCGATGCAGACGGGTCCAAGGAGAGGAACCAGACCAAGTGCAGCCCAAAGATCCTTATGATGAATACGACCTTTGGAAACAGGGGTCGTATTCGCCCCGAACATGGGGTCCCACTCTGGAGAGGCCTGAGGGCCCATGGAGCCCAACCGGGTTTTAACCCATGGAGCCCAACCGGGTTTTAACCCATGGAGCCCAACCGGGTTTTAACCCATGGATCCCAACTGGGTTTTAACCCAGGGATCCAGGCCGGGTCGGGTTTTAACCCATAGAGCCCAACCGGGCCTTAACCCATGGAGCCCAACCGGGCCTTAACCCATGGAGCCCAACCGGGTTTTAACCCATGGATCCAGGTCGGGTCGGGTTTTAACCCATGGATCCAGGTCGGGTTTTAACCCATGGATCCAGGTCGGGTCGGGTTTTAACCCATAGAGCCCAACCGGGTCGGGTTTTAACCCAGGGATCCAGGCCGGGTCGGGTTTTAACCCATAGAGCCCAACCGGGCCTTAACCCATGGAGCCCAACCGGGCCTTAACCCATGGAGCCCAACCGGGTTTTAACCCATGGATCCAGGTCGGGTCGGGTTTTAACCCATGGATCCAGGCCGGGTCGGGTTTAACCCATGGATCCAGGTCGGGTCGGGTTTTAACCCATGGATCCAGGTCGGGTCGGGTTTTAACCCATGGATCCAGGTCGGGCTCAGCCCAATGAGAGTCAATCTGTTCACCACCTGTGGGGTGAGATTGAGAGGTTCCGGCTAGAAATAGTCAGACTGACTTCAGTGGACGGTTCTGGTTCTGGAGCCAGTCTCCTTGAAAGGGGTTGGATGTTCTCCACTCTGGGGTTGCCCCCTGTGAGAGGCGCTGGGCAGGAGGGGGCATATTTGTTGCCTCCCATCTTGTTCACTCCAACGCACCAAGAGGATAGCCTCTCCCTCTACATATGGGTTTGGGTCGGTTCTGGCTACTCGTTCAGATTAGCCACTGTCCTTGGAGGGCGTACTGGAGAATAAATATTTTACTTTCACAGTAAAATAATCTTATTTTACTGCAAAATAAAGTGAAATAAGATTTTTGTGTGTGTGTGACCACAGACTCCTCTGAACATGATCCTCTCTGTTCTCCATCCGGTCCGACTCACCTTGCTGTTCGGAGTCGCAGAATCCTTCTGCCCCACCTCCACGCTGGTCGGAGGACGGAGATCCGGAGCTTCCGACGGCTCTCGTCTCTTTCTGGCCGGCTCCGCGGGAACGCCGGCATCTTTAAGGCTGTTCTGCGGCGCCGACGATGCGTCTGGCTGCGACGGCTCCGATTGGCTGTTCGGGAGGCTGTTGCATCCTGGCAGGGAAACCTTGGAGCTCCTCTGTGGCGAGGCGAACAGTTTCCCCCTGAAACAGACAAACCAAGCTTCACGACTGAACCGCGCAGATCAGAGGCGTTCCTCAGGGATGTATGCTCTGTTCTTTACTCTGTTGACTCATGACGTTTCAGCCTAATTTATCCAAAAAAAGTTCTTGCCTGACGCCGGCGTTGTTTCCGGGTTGAGCGTCCTCCTCCGCCCCCTGCTGTCGGTGAGCCTGCCGAACCCGAGTGAACACCGACGGGCTGCAAATAAACACAGCAAACCCAAATCAGTTCTGCTGGGGATCAAACCAGCAGCTAAACATGGTTTCCTCAGTTTTTTTGTCCTTCTCTTGATCTAAAACACTCAAGAGTTTCTGCAGAAACTCTGATATTAGTTCTCTGCCTCAGAACCCGGCTCGGCTCTGTGTGCCGCTGGCGTTGAGATCTTTCAGGGTTTCACTTCAGAGACGTCAGGGTCAGAGGGCACCGTTACCTGGTTACAGTCGTGGAAACCGTCGTAACAGTGGCGACCGACTCTTCCTCCTCCTCCGACAGCGCCGGCTCTGAACAGAAGAGTCACGCGAGTCAGAAGGCGACAGGAAGCCTGGCGGCGTGCGGCCGGAGAGGCGGGCTCTTACTCTGCAGGCTGAAGCGTTCGGAGCCGCCCTCCTCCACCGGCGTCACCAGCTTCATCCTCAGGCTCAGCTTCCCGTCTTCCCCGTCAGCCGCCGCGTCGTCGCCCGCACTGCACGGCTTCTCCGAAAAGGGAGCGATCTCTGCGCAAAAAGTGAAATTACATCGTTTCAAAAACGTAGAAACAAACCTTCCAGATCCTGTCTGACTGCGGCCGGCGTCTTCTTCCCGGTTTCCAAAACCCACCGATGGGCGTGCTGTGTCTGAGCGTCTGCTTCAGCTGGCTGACCAGCGGCGGCGTCGACCCCACGGCCGGACCAATCAGCTCGCCCTCTTTAGGAAGAGTGAAGTGGAAAGAAATGTCTGCCATAGAAAGGAAAAGGAAGAGAGGAGATTGAACATAAGGAAAATGGAGCTGGTAGTGATTTGCAAAGGTTTTCACGCAACTTTTTCAATATCTCTCGATATTGAGATTTTTGCTTATGTTTTTAATAAATAAAAATCATCTATAATATTCATTCTCCTCATTTTTAGACAGAGGACAAACCAGAGCTAAAATGTTCAAGTCAAAGTTCATATTTAGTCCTGTGATATGTGGCCTAAGTTTGTTCAAAAAAAGAATTTGAAATTAGAAATAAAAAAAGTTTACATGGCTGAAAAACGTATCACTGTTTTTCATTTCACATCCTTCAATATCAGTAATTACTGATCAGTTCTCTGGGTTTAAATGTCTGACATATTGCCGTACCAGTAGCACGACGCTTCCTGTTTTATCCAGTTTCGATATTTTTCACTTTTGGCAGTTATGAGACAAAATGGGGAGACTTGAAACTGCTGCTGCGCCAGTTCATCAGCAGGTTGTTGCTAGGTAACCAAGGAGTGAGAGAGCATGCTGGGAGAATCTGAGCACCTGACGTCTTTCCTCTGCTTACATCTCCCAGAATGCTGTGCAGTTCTGGATCAGAGTTCAGTGAATATCTAAAATATTGAATATTGTATCAGATGTGTTATTTATTTATATTGATCTCGTGATATATATTGTAATATATTTATTACAATAATTATTGACAGCAACTAAAATGAAACCTCTATTATTTGTCAGCCATATCATCCAGACCTAAAAAACATTTTTCACCTCCAGAGCTGTCGCTCAGCTCTTTGACGGCCTCCATTTCTCGCCTGCCCAGGTCGTCCTGCGCTCTCTCTTCCTGGTTCTGCTGCTGGTGGCCGTTAGCCGTGACGACCCGTTTGGCTCCGTCGCCCTCAGAAACGCCGGACTCCGGCTGCGAGGCGCCGCCCTGGAGCTCCTCCTCCTCCATTGGCTCCGGAGACATCACCTGACTCTCAGAGAGGACCAGCGCCATCGCCGAGGCGCCACCGGCGTTCTCCTCCTTCATGCCCTCCTCCTCTTCCTCACAGTCGTCCGTCTCGTTTTTGTCCGTCGAATGGTTCTGTTCTGCTGTTCCTCCTGACCCGGAGGCGTGTGACGCCGCCGTGGTGCTGCACGGCGTCTCCTGCACGCAGCTGTTCGCCGCCGCCTCAGAGTGGTTAGTGTTGCTGCTTTTGTTCACATTTGTCTCTGCTTCTTGTTGCTGCTGGTCGGACTCATGCGGTGGGTCCGGGTCAGTCCGGCCGGGTTGGTGCGACTCCTCCAGAGCCGCGACGTCGCTGGTGTCGACGCCCGGCGGCTCTTCCAACTCCTCTATCTGTGTGTCCTGACTGTCCTCCTCCACCAGAACCGGGTCGCCGCTGTCAGCATTCACAGAAAGCTGCAGCGCAGCGGAAAACGGCGCCGACTCCCGGAGCGAAGACTGGGTCTCAGAAGGCAACGGAGGAGACTTCCTGCTAGCTTCTTGGCTCTGTGTTGGAACAAAAACATCCTGAAACAAAGAGAAAGGTTTGGATGAAACCAAGTCATTAATATGAGTTAATAAAGTGAAGTAGGTGTTGCTGATTTCTTTCCTTTTTAATCGCACAATCAAGTAACTTCAGTTGTTAAAAACGCTGCATATATCAAATATGACTTGGATTAAATTTGACTTCCTAATTCAACTCCTAGAAATTGGGCCTCTGTCTCTTTAATGAACTCCTGCTCCGCCTTCAGAGGTCATCACAACATGGCTCCTCTATTAACCCTTTAACAACGTTTTTACCAATGACTAGCAGCTCTGATAATGAGCTCAGCGTTTCCATCTGCTGTTTGCTAACCGCTAACCCGTCTGTGTCTGGGGATTTTTTGGTTTAAACATGTTTAATCTTCATTCTGTCGGCAGAAAGTCCAGAAAATTTACTCAAGTAGAAAGTAAAGTGCAGTAAAAACACCTTCAAAAGGACATTTTTTTTAAAAAGGTTTCTCAAATAAATAACTAATTACTACCCAACTCTGGAAATACGTACATGTGAGAACTCTGGCTGTGACGGCACCGGGAGCGCTCGCTCCGAGCCAGAGGCATTCTGGGAGACCGGGGCAGAGGTAGGTGAGTGTGGCCTCGAGGCGGCGTCCGTTTCCATCGGCTCGTCCTTCGCCGCCGCCGCTCGCTCCTCCGGCGGGAGCGAGGTGTCCATGGGTTCCTCTGCGAATATTCAGGTCATTAGAGCCGGTTTTGATTCGTTCACCAGCTGATTTAAACCCACTCACTCACCGTCGCGTTCGTTTTCCATTTCGGTTGGCGAGCTTGGAATGATTAAAGGAGTGCGGGGGAAGTTGTCCGGCGTTGGGGCGACGTAATCAACAGAGCTTCTGGGCAACAGAACCAAACAACAATCAATCACTTCAGGTCTAATAGAAACATAAAGACCCAAACTTTCTCTTTCGATCATTTCTTTCCATAAACCGGTTAGTAATTGGAACATTAGGAGATTTTACAGAATTAAAACCAGGTGAACTAAAACTGCCACCTGAGGAGTTCAACACATTCACAAAATGTTTTTTTCTATTTTAAAATTTTACTGCATTAAATTTTTGTTTTTTTTTTGTAAAGTTTGGCTTCATTACTGCTCTGGGCCTTTTTAGAGTCTGTATGCTTTGGATAAAAATTAATTGATTACCAAAACTGTTGATTATTTTAATGATCAATTAATTGCAATGAATTGAATTTAATCCGATTGATTCAATTAATCCCAATTTATTGGACTAATCCCAATTAATTTGATTAATTAATATTGTTTAGATAAATCATGATTGTTTCAATTAATTGTGATTGTTTTAAAAAATTGCAACTATTTCAATTAATCACGATTAATTCGATTAATTATTTCAGCCCTAATCTAGTTACTTTTTCAGGATTTGTAATCCCTTGCTTTACTCTTTTCTTGAAAAAAGTAATCAGATTACTGCTGGTGACTTACTGGGACTGGCTCTCCTGGACCAGCGTTCCCTGTCCAGACAGATGCAGCAGCTGCAGGCTGTGGGCCGGCGTGGAGGTGGGCCGAGCCGGCTGCTCCGGTTCCGACACCGTGCTGTCCACAGCGGCGCCTGAGAGGTTTCAGCATGACGCAGTTATTCACCCGTTCTGCACGCTCGCTGCAGAAACGCCAAACAAACGTACCCGACTTGTCGCCGTCGAACAGATCTTCCTGTGAGGACAGGACGTCGCAGTCCTCGGACTCCTGCAGGTTCTGGGAGTGCAGCAGAACCTGGACGGTCAGCTGGCGACCCGACTGGCAAACAGACTCGGAGGAGCTGCTGGAGCTGACCTCTGACCTGCAGGAGAGCGATGTTCATCACACAGCTAAAATCTTATTATCTCAAAGTTCAGCAGCTTTTAATCTGGTTAATTTAAGTTTATTTTTAATCGTGGTGATTAAAAATTATTTACCTCACTGCTTTGTTATCTTGATGCGCCAAAGTTTTGGGGGCAACACACTGCTGCTCTGAAATAAAAAAGGAACAAAAACACACAGATGTTGGCCTGATGGGTGTCAACACTGTTAGCATGTAAGAAAACATTTTCATTAAAATGTTTTAGCAACAGAAACAGGAAACGCATTTAAATGAGTCGATTTCCTGCTTTAAAATAAGAATTTTTTTGTTTTTACTTTCATGGCTGAGGTCTCCGCCAGCTTCAAGGTCCTGACTCTGCGAGAGCTCCAGAAACCCAAACTGACACGACCCACCTGGAAACACACAGAATGAGCTTATAATGCAGAAAAACAGAAAATATTAGGTCTAAACTTCAGTGCAGGAGGAACACCGACCGTCAGACTGAACACAGTTAGTCGTAGAATCGGCTCCAGGATCCATTTCAGAATCCTCAGGTACAAACCTGGAGAGTTCAATGGGAAAAACGTTATTTCACTGGATGGATGGATAGAAAGAAGGGATGAAAGAGAGGGAAAAAAACAAGAAAAAAAGGAAAGAGGGAAGAAAGAAAAGAAGCAAAGTGTTAAAGAATTAAACATTTTAATGAAATTAAAAACTGTACATATTTCCTTCATTTTCTTTATTTCCTCCATGAAGTTGAATTGTTTCTTCACTCCAGAGAAACTGCGTGAATTATTGATAAATAAAATCTGTTGTCCTTTTCCTACTCAAGTGAATAAACTCTGCTGTCACCAGCAGGTGGCGCCACTACAGAGGAAAAAGTTAAATCTTACAGAAAAGAAAAACTAACAAAAAAACAAACCCATTATAAGGTCTAAACTGGTTTATTATGTAACTAGAAACCAGCAGCACCAGTTCATAAACATCCAGTACTTTCCTCCCCCCTCATTTATTTTACTTCCCATGTAAGATTCCCACTGAATGTGGACCAGAACCAGGACAGGAAGCAGGGAGTACTTACTTTTTCTTGTTGGGATGCGGACAGACGTTGATAACTTGACTCTCCTCCTGCAGCGGCGAGCTGGGGTCAGCTGCAGCTACGACCTCTGAACCAAACAAAACTAAATATTTTTAAAACATTGCAGGTGAGATTAAAATGCAAATGTAGTAAAACATGAATAATTTTACTGACCTGGTTCGGCCTGGTTGTTACTGTCTGATTGGCTGTCGGTTTGGGAGCATCTACTTCCTGGTGGTGATGATATCAGTTCCTGGAAAAAGGAAATTTATAATATAATTTAATTATAAAATATTTCTACTCTTACTTGAGTAAATTTTCTGGATTTTCTGTCCCCTGAATGAAAAACAAACATGTTATTACCAAAACACACAGCTGCAGTTTTTGTTAAAGTTTCATAAGTTCTTTTTATGAATAGAAACTGATTTAGAACATTTTCCTTTTCCTGATTTTATTTATTTGAATTATTGTAATTTTGATCCTTTTCCAATTAACTTTATATTTTGGTCTATTAGATGATATAATTGTTAAATATGAAGTGATTGATAATTTGATCAGTCAGAACTTGAGTATACTTTTCACCAAATATCTTTTTGAGTCATTTCTTGTCTAACTTTTACTTGAGTAGAAATATTTGGAGGTAGTTTTACTGCAGTAAAATTTGGGGGTTTTCTGCCTCTGATTATGATGAATATGGAGGAAATGCATGTAGCTGTTGGGATACTAACTGGTAAAGGAGAATTTGTAAATAAAGTCATTATTATTAAAACGTTGTGGAAAAATAGCTAAACATGTTATATCTCGACATATGGCGATGCTGCTTCTCTTTAAACGGTGTTATAATGTTATTTTTACCGTAGTGTGTTTATTGTTCAGTGTGACTGGATAAAGACCGCCTCACCAGGACCGGGCTGCGGGCGGCCGGCTGCAGGCTGGCCAGGCGGCGGGCCAGCAGCGCGCGGTAGCTGCTCTCCGGGTCGTCCTCCAGACCGACGCTGTCCGGCTGAGAATCCTCCACTATCAGGCACGGGTTCTCCGGCTGAGGCAGGCTGGAGTCCAGTTCGCTTCCACCGGGATCCATGAGGTCAGGCCGAGGGCAGGAGACGCCGACTGTTGTGAGCTAGCCAAGCCAGAGGAGAGACAACAAAGCGGGCGGCATGTGAGACCCGAGCCGGCTACTGCTACCTGAGCTCACCGGTGTTAGCATGTTAGCCTCGGCTGCAAGCTAATGGCTAACGCTCCGCCCATCAACATTTCAGGGTTTGTCTGGTTGCAAACACGGTGAAAGTAACATTAACAGGGAAGAGAAATCATTACAAACTGTACCAACGTTATATTTACCTAAAGAACTCAAAAGTATTAAATTGTTGATTCATATATTCCTTTAAGAAATCATTATGGATCTTCTTCAGCTCGCTTCGTCGCGGTAAAAATTTAACAAAAGCGATTTGATTGGTTTAACGGCACTGACGTCACAAAACGTCAATTAGTTTTATGGTTGCCAGGCCGTGTTCAGATTTAAACACGTTGTTGAGGCGACAGTCTGAGAAAGTATGGGAATTATTACATTTTACCGTTTTTCTCATTCGCATTTTACTTTATGACTTTAATTTGTCCCCTGGACCTTTTATCACACTTAACAGATGAGTCGGTCAGCAGCAGCTCTGACCCACATCCCCCCTGACCCCTGACCTGCCCTCTCCTAAGGGAAATTAAAGCTGCAGAATGTAACTTTTGTAGAATGTAATTATATATATATATTTCATATATTTGTTAAGACTGTCATTATGTTGTGACAGTATGGTATGAGAGATAATCTGTGAAAAATCTATTTCCTTTGCTTTCTCAAAGTGCTAGAAACAACTAGTCAGTGAGAGGAGAGTTTCAGTGCTGTCAATCACAATCTCATGTGTCTGCTCATCCCTATGGTGCAGCTAGCATATCCTGTTGTAAATGCTTAGTCTAGCTACAATGACTACCAATGACGGCAGATAAACATTTTCTGTAACAATAAGTTGTTTCTCCACCATTAGCACATTTAGCAGTGAGTGGATGAAATGATTGACAGCACCAAGACCCTCCTCCTGGTTCTGATTGGTTGTTTTGGCCGTAATGTTGCATTACTTTAGCTAGCAATAGTAATTCAGGGAAGAGGTGGAGGAGAATGATTGATTGTTTTCACAGATTATCTGTCTCATACAAACTGTAGCAACACGGTGACAGCTTTAATAAATATAGAAAAAAACATATTTTTTATTAAAGTTATATGCTGCAGCTTGAATAAAATGCAACCGAATGGCATTTCTTGAAAAGTCCAGATTGTTTCATGTATATTTTGCATGTTGCTTTTGACTGCTGCTCTTGGGGAGAGACATTTTAATTATGTAAAACTAGTAGTGATTTATGTAGACATTTTGGCCTATTTCCTCAGGCATGTGAATTTGTATACACAATTTTCTTGAAAATTAAAGATTCAAGATTTTTTTCTGTTTTTATGCAATTATTTCCAGACAAATTGTATTTTTTTCACATTTTATTAACATTATCAACACTAAAAAGCAATTACAATGTAGAAAAATAGCATTGATGCCCCAGAAAAAACCTTAAAGCATCATCTGTAAAGGGATTTGTTTGTAGTTTTTAATGCTTTACTTCTTTCTCTTTCCTCCATTTTTCTGGTTTCAGTCATTTTAATAAAGGTTTTTAACTAATACTTAAATTTTAATTTAGCACACAGGCAAAGAAAAGTCATAAAATACATCAGAAAGTCTAACAAAACAGTGATTTGGATGAAGAAAAGCATAAAGAATAACTTGGAGGCTCAGAAGTGTTTTTGAATGAGAGGGCATTTCAAGGTTTTACATGTTTTACTGCAGAGTTCTGCACCTGCTGAGATAAATCATGTAAAGAAAAATAGAAATCTGGGGCGTTCGCTGCACAGCGGGATCTCTGAGACCTCCATCAGATCCCTGTGGGCTTTGGAAGGACTCATTTAAAATAAGATATAGGTTAACTTCCTCCCTGACATCACCCTCAGCATGGAGCTGCAGAGTTTTTTTTTATTCCTGTTCTCATTATACCCAGCTGTTATTGCCTCCAATCCTCCCCCCTTATCACCATCAGAGTCATAAATCTTAATGGCGGATTTGTAGAAATGTTTCTTTTCTCCTCATCAAACAAGCTAAACGCTAAAACAGCACGTTCATGTCTGAGTCTCAGCAGATCCAATCATTGTCTTATGCTGATTTCGATCTTAGATTGAAATCTAGTAATTTGCAGGTTTGTCATCATCATCATCATCATCATTTTTTTCCAGCCTCTGTTTCCATGGAGACCAAATATCCCAGCAGCACAGCAGCCGAAGCTCATGCAGATCACAGAGGTTTCTGGTGGCGAGACAATAAAAAGGTCTGACTGACTGAGGCTGCTGGGAAGGCGTGGTACTCAGATCTGAATGGACCCAACGACGCCATGACGATGCTCAGGATCATTTACAGACTCAGACATTAAAGTTCATTTATTAATAACCTGCTTTCATAGAGACCAGTAAGGTTTTCAGAAAAACATGGAAGCAATGCACATGACAGAACGTCGTCAAACTTCCTGAGAAGGTCGGGTCAAGTCTTTTCCTCTGGGTTTAAAGAAAGAATTTATGACACTGCAAAAACACAAAATCTTACCAAATATTTTTGGTCCTTTGTCCAGTTCTTACTGCAAATATTTCAGCACACTTCAAATAAAACAAAACTGACTTGCATGCATGCAACTTTTCAGCAACAGATAGGAACTTTTCTTTGCTCAATAATTTCTTTATAATGATGAAAAGGTTCCAGTTGCACTTTCAGATTGTTAAGACGTTTTCCCCATGTTATGAGTGAAATCATCTTACAGTGGAATTAGTAATTTTTCATCCATTTTAAGGAAATATTGACCAAAAACAAGCTCCTATATTTGGCTGAAAAGTTACTTGTAAGTTTACCTTGTTTATTTCAAGTGTACTTGAAATATAAGGACTGAAAACTGGACTAAACATACTCAATATTTTAAACTTTTGCAGAGTGGAAACTGCCTGTGGGTTACTGTCAGACTCTTGTTCCAAATCAAGTTATGTCCAAATCAAACCCATTATTTTATTTATTTATTTAGTACTCTGTGTGGTTCTGCACTTTATGAATGTGGAACCTGTAATAAAGTCAGTTTTTAAGTATTTTTGAAAATATTTGATTTTGTTGGAGTGAATAGCTTGCAGGTCTGGTCACTGGTTCAAATCCTGTCTGAAGTTTTCGTGCATAAAAACATTGATAGTGAATAAAAATTCACATCCTTAGTCACTCTATGGCATGCAGATTCATGTTAATCTAGAAAAAACTATTCAAATGATTACTTTGCTATGCTAATTGTAGCTAACTTTATTCTGAGTGACCAAACTAAATATTAGCAAATGAGAAAAAAACTACAGGAGAAAGTACAACTTTCTGAGCAGCTTCTCATCAAAATGAACTTTGAATACTCTTATTTTTATGAGCAAAATTATTAAGTAATAACAAAATAAACAGTATATGTGATGAATTTGCTGTGTATTTTTGGCAGTTTAACCAAATTAGTTAAATAAATGTAAAACTTTTTGATTAAATTTCAGCTTACTTAGATTTGTAGGTATCATCTAAATTCTTTCTTTCCTACTTTTATTTTGTGAATCCCACCAGAAGCCCATTGTAGTAATCCAATGAACGCCCCTGCTGCACGCATCAACTTCATTCTGTAATCATTTAACCTGATGTGATGAGGCTGCAGGTGTGAATCCTTTTTAGTTGTCAGTGCTTCTTGTGAGACAAAAGGCTTCAACTCCAGGAAACAGCAGCAGCAGCAGGGATGCTGACCGGCATTTCATCAACTGAGACATCCTGGGAGGCAACAATGCGCCCGCGAATGCCACGTTCAGCCAAACGGCTGGGTCAACACATCCCAGGTGTTTTCGCTTTAAAATGAGAATCAGAAGTGATGCAGCCTTTAGTTTCAGAATGAAGTGACGCGGCTCTCAATGCGCCTCCCGCTGCCGCGAACAGCAGCTGCGAACGACAACTTCAGCATTACGTCGTTCGTTTCTGCAGACATTAAACAAATGCGCACAAAATGTCTAATCACCTCCGGCTGTGCGGGAGCCGGGCGGAAACGCACACGGATCCGTATCCGCACCCGTTCTGCGCTGCACAATAGTTCCCGATTTAGCGCAAGAAAAGAGACAGAAAAGATCGTTACCTTCGGAATCAATATGTCCGCTCCTGGGCTTTCCAATTTGTTTCAGGGTCCCGCTGGTTGTAGTAGGAGCGCGTCAAACATCGCTCAGCCCTGCCTTGCCTCTGTTTTGCTGAGAGTCAGGGTGTGGGACGCATGGCACGTAAAGATGCACAAGCATTTATTAATATCAGCCAGAAATCATTCTATCCATGCGAATTTATGCAGAGATTCAATAAGAAAACACACCCAAATGAGGATTATTATTATTATTATTATTATTTATTTCCCTATTTGGATATTAGAATGAAAAAAGGGAAGATAATTTAAAGGAATCCAAATCCAGAGGGAAACAAACCCAAAGTGAAACAACAAATGAAGAAATTAATCTTTTTCTGACCTTAAAACTTTTTCTGTACTTGTTGTAAATAACTTGTAAATAAAATATAGTTTTAAATAAAATATAATGGACGAAATTAATCATAATTTAGACTTTAAATAAAAAATCTCCAAGGTAATTTACTATATATGGAAAATAATAATGCATGCATCACCTTGTTGTCCTAATGCTTTCTCTGCTTAATACACAACCAACGCAAATATTTTTAAACTGTAATTCTAAGCAATTTCGATACAATCTATTTGTGCAAAATTATTCCATATTTTTGTCTTTCTTCAGAGACGTAAAGAAATCTATAAATAAATTCCTGCAGTAACTCCTCCTGCCAGCAGAGGGCAGCAGACGCTCTGAAGTGTCGATGAGCAGATTGCTGACTCACTCCAGGTAACACAAATCAACAGAGATCCACTAATGACAACAACCTCTGATCTGATCATACACATCAAACTCAGCTTCTCAGACTACGAAATAATAAATAAATTGATTATTTTAGTTGTTTTTAATAAACAAATAATAATAAACAAAAACAACAAGAGAAAGCTGTCAAGAATCGAACTGAACTGGAATTAATTGAGCTGAATAAAAAAACCGAATTGAATTAAAATTGTACTGAACCGAACTAATTGGAACTGAACCGAATTGTAATGAAATGAATTCAACTAAACTACATTGAATTAAACTAAATTCATTTAAACTGAGTTGATTTGAACTAAACCTAATTGGACCTCATTGAATCGAAGCAGCTGAACTGAATTAAATGTATCTTGATACTTTCCCCATGTTAAATGTCTGTGTGTCTGATGCTTCTTCTCATTTGCTTTTAGTAAAATAAATCAATCAATAATTTTAATGGGCGTGACCTGAAGTTCTGCATCTGTCAAACATGTCAACAATTGAAACATTTCAAATATATATATTTTTTTATTGCTTGTTATGTTGAAAATGAATGTCAGAAGCATGAAGTCGGCATTTTGGAGCTTCTATTTAGATTTTTCTATCTGTGTGACCCGGATGAACCCACAGAACCGGTTCGAGTCTCACTGTTTGTCTCATTACAGTCACGTGCAGTTCTTGTCATCATAATGGCCGACAATAAGAGGCTCTGTCTGCCAGCGCGGATCTCCAGAACAGCAGCGCCTCTGTCAGAGAACAAAGGGCCGTCAGAAGACGCGCGGCCGCCTGGCTCTCACTGGCACCGACAGAACCGGAGCGGCTCTGATCCGCTTTGATTTCCGGGGTTTGAACATGAAAAACGAGACGGATCATCTCCAATCGACTCGTTTTCAAATTTAGAAATGTCTCGGCGTTTCTCCTCCTGCTGCCCCGCATGAAATATGACCGAAGTGATTCCTGAGATCCATCCAATCAGAAGCCATGACGTCACATAGCCACATCAAGGCCCACCCAATCAGACGCGTTGCCACGCCCAGAGCCCATCCTGCCCCGTCATGGTGCTCGCTCCGGATGCAGTTGTCATGGAGATGGGAGAGAGCTCGGCGTCCGCTGCCGGCGCTGTTACCATGGAGACCCCGGGCTCGGCGGAGCGGGCGGAACCGGACCGGATCGGCGTCCCGGCGGTCCGGAGCAGAAACCACCGGCTGCTGCTCGCGATCGGAGAGATTTCCACCGACTATCACCTGGAAGCGGCGCGGAGTCAAATCACAGGCGGTGAGACAGCAGAACCGAACAGCGTTACTCTGACCGGGCGTCCAAAGGGCGGGCCGCGGGCCAGTTTGTGGCCCCTGGAACTTTTATGTGGGTCATATTCAGCAAGCAATAAATCTATGAATTGCATGATAAATTAAAACTGTTAATGATTTGCATAATTTATTGTTTTTCTCTTTTCTCTCTACTAAAAACTGGATGAAAAGTTTTCAGTTTGGGGTTTTGACAAATACTTTGTTTACAGAAACGTGACAATTGTTGTTTAGATTTTTAAAATGTCTTCCAAGTTTAGGGCTAAATGCTTGTTAGACTTCAAAGTTCTCTTATCTTTGAGAATGAAGGTGCTCAATCAATCAATCAATCAATCAATCAAAATTTATTTGTATAGCACATTTCAGTAGAAAGGCATTTCAAAGTGCTTTACATCATAACATCATCATTATCATCATCATCATCATCATCAGATTCTTGGAAAATCACTTGAAAATGGGCTCAAAACAACAATATTATCATTTATCTCAATAACTTCTGAGACAATTTATCATACAAAGTTTGTTTCCATAACAGGCCGAGAAATGTTGTGATCATGACAAAATAACGTTTTAAGTAAAATACAAAAAAAATTACAGCAAAAATTATCTTTCAATTCAAGTCAGAAAAGAAATTTGGCCCACAAACTATTTTCAGATTTCAGTATTTAAAAAAATATATTGGAGATGTACATTTTAGCTTATTATTATTCTTTAAATAAAAGAATACTGGAACTCAAAAATATACAGATTTATGTCTGAAACCTGAATATGAATATGACTGCTTATATTTATTTGTGTTTGTTTTTTCCTCTGTATCAGGTCTGCTTTCCTGGAACGTCGACTTGTCTGTCTGCGACCTGAACAAGGAGCTACAGCTGTTCAGGAACAGACACACCGCTCAGTTTTCTTCTCAGGTCAAAGGTCAGACTCAGTTCATCGATCATTTTGCAGAAGCTTTGAACGGCAGCAGGACTTCCTGGTGCGTAAAGCCGTGTGTGTGGCGGTTGTGATCAGTCTGGATGGACAGATGGACGAGTGGAGTTTTGTCTAAAACACATTTCTGCTGCTTTGCAAAAATTAATTAATCAGCATTTTTTATTTGATATAAGAGTTAAGCAGCCGCTTAACTTTTATATGCCTAAGACCGGCCCTGCTTAGAGATGACAGTTTTATAATTGCTCCTTCTGTGAGTTTCTCTTATTGACGTTGATTCAAAATAACTCAGGGAGTGTTTCTGAATGTTTGGCAGGGAAACATTTCTGAAAGGGCAGCGATCAGGAAGTGCTTTTAATCTGAAAGGTCAGTCCTCAGATGTGGTTCAGAGGGGGTTTGAATCCCTTGGCTCGTTTGTGTTTACCTTTTGGAAAGCGGCCTCCGTTTCTGGCCGTCACACTCCGGCTCCCGACGTCGTGCCATGAATACTAATGCAGCGGCTGGCAGCGCCGCCAACATGGCCGACAAACCCAGACACAAAGAGCACAGAGAGAGGAAGCCTGCTCCACCGCCAGCTGATCACATCCACACAACTTAACACAACGAGAAAGGCTTTGATTTGATTTTTCATGCATGTTTTCTACGTTAAATTGGCTGATTATTTATGACTACATTGTTTTTTTAACAGTCAAATCCTTTTATCATTAATATGAAGAGTATAAATACATTTACATAAAAAAAATGAATTTGCTTTAAATCTGGAAATATACAATTTCATGAAATGCAGAAGTTTTTTTATTATTTATAAATGTTTTATATATTTATTTGTGTTTATGTTTATTTTTTTTATTTTATTTTATTTGTGACCAGTTTAAATAAGATGTTTTCTTTTTTTAAAAAAAGCTTTATTTTGCATTCACAAGCATATTTTTTAATTCTAAGGGACACTGATGTGAAAATATTCTCAGGTTGCATCATGTTCTCAGGCTTTTCACTCATTTTCTCTGGGCCCCTTTTTATGTGGAGTCTTTCTGTAATGATGTGTAAAATCATGACACCTCTAAATATAACCTAATCAGAAAAAAACACACAGATGATCAAATGATGGGAGTGTGGGATGAATGTTGCAGAATTATGAACAATGTGTGAATTTATACACCGAAGTTGTGATGAATTAATTGTCAGATGGAAAGAATCAAGAATCAAAATCAAGAAGTTCAAAATTTAGATGCTTACAAATAAAGAGATGTGGAACAAACTAAAATCTAAAAACTACTTTGCAGGTTTCTGTCTGCTAGGAAAATAAAAGTTTTTTGGTGATTCTGTCAGCAGTTGATTTAAATTTACTGGCAGAATGTGACGAACGATTTAACAGCAGCAACACGTCTAAAATATGCAGGCATGTTATCAGATTATTGTATAGATTATAAACTAAGAGATTATTTAGTTTACAATATTCTTATTGCATTTTTTTTCTGACTATAGTTAGATCAGCTGGAATCACCATCAATTTAATCAGCATACCAATGTCCAGAAAAATGTTGCTTATATGCTAAAAATAAATAATTTTTCAAGATGGCTGCGATTTTTGAGGCTTTCCAATCAAACTGTTTCCCATTTTCATGACTTGTATTAACGTTACGTCACATAATATGTTTTCCACTATGGTCACATGTTGCTACCTGAACTGGTTCAATAGCCAATCCAAAGCTCCCTTTCACTATATGCTGCTGTAGGGGTTCCCAAAGTAGGGGTCGGGAGCCCCATGGTGGCCATCAAACACTGACTGGGTGGTTGTGAGTGATGTGATTCCTGAAGTGTACTTAGAAGGGACAATATTAAATACATAGCTACATAAATATCACTAAATGTCTCATTAAAAAGTGTACACTAATACGGATTTTAGTTAATCTTAAAATTATTCATATTTATTTTTAAATAAGTAGAAGGGAAACATTTTCTATATATTTTTAGGTGGTTGCTAGCGTCTGGCGGTGTTATTTTGGGGTCACAAGCTGAGACGTTTGGGAACCACTGCTGTACAACAAACAGGAAGTCAGCCATCTTGGATTGAATTTGAATTGCTGACCCCATTTTGGCCATATGTAGCCTCCATTTGATCCAACTCCTCCTTGAGGTTTGAATGGATCGGCTTAAAAGATCGATGGTGAGTTTGTGAGCATGCTAACGGGGTGAGCCAGACCTCGGACTTTGACTACACACCACCGCTGAGGCTTTGGTGAGTTCATCAATCGAGGTTTGTGATTGGTTCTCGGCTGGTGACATCACTGTTTCCTCGCTGAACGATGAGGCACAGAGACAGTCAGAAAAGATCTCCTTTCTCCCCAAGAGAGGAGGAAGGGGAGGATGAACGAAGCTGTCACCCACACGGCGCGAGTAATGGAGGCCCAGTGGATCGGCTCTGCGGATTGATCGCTGGTTATACAGAACCTGGTGGAACCAGAGAGCCTCAGGGGAAACGGGCCATTAACTCTACGAAGATCTGAAACCACATTTATGAGGGATTGATGTACATATGTAACAGCTGGGTTTTAGCTTAATAACAGTTAAACATTTTTTAAGTTTGTCAAAAACTTGTTTCCTCTTGACAGAACCGGTTCTGTTATGGTATTCTTGAGGGTCAGCTCTGTGTTTTCTTTACATTTCTTATTTTATCCTAACACATATTTGAAACTAAATTGATTATATGCAGTAATTTTGCCATGTTTTGTATGTTTTTAACTTTAGTTTGATTTTTAACCATTGCATTTTGTTTAGGGACGTTTATTATTGAAGCCGATGGACTGATGTTAACCACCAACGCTCATATCTTCTAAATCACTAAGACTGAAAAAATAAATGTCTCTGTAGTTTTACTTCATGCTATTTGAGGATATTTTTTGGGTCTGAAGTAAATTAGTTCAAGTTTTGTGCATTTTCTAAAACTTTGAAATCAACATTTGAACAAAATGGTTGAAATGTTGATTAATTCAGCTACAAAATGAGTAAATGATCAAAATGATTTTTAGGTGATTTGTGATTGTTGGCAGTTTTTTTGGTTGAATCGTTTGGTTGAATCGTTTGGACCACCTAATTTTCTAATCTGAATTCACTTGAACTTTTCAATCTTTTCCCACAATCCCACTTTAAGAGGTCCAACATTCCCTTAAAGGGGAAAGCGCCCAGAAGACTACTTAAAGTAATAGAGAAGTGACAGTAATGTAATACTGCAGACACAGCATAACTGTTACAACTCATGTAATGTAATTTTTGTCTGGTCTTTATGTCATTTTCTCTCAGTGGGGAGATTCAATTTTGTGTTGCAGAACCAACAGAAGAGCTTTTTATGACTTTCTCTCCCACGCAGCATTCTTCGGCTCGCTGTGGTCTTCTTCTCTCTTCCTCTATCGATTTCTGCCTGAGGAGCCACTCAGATGCAAGTAAATCATCGCAATGTGCTGAGAAAAGCAGAAAGCTGCAGAAGATAAGCTCACACATGCAGCTCGGGTTGCTGTCAGCTTTCTGACCATTTAATCACAGTTTTTACACAGCTCATCAAAACATAATGAAAACATGATTATGATTTGATCTGGAGTTAAGATAGGCCTAGGAAATAAACCCATTTTATATCATTTTTTGGTTCTATAAAATTAATTAAACATAACAGATTTAATTTTAGAAAAATCTGGAACAAGATAACGATTAAAAACATGTTGCACCATCTTCCTTCCGCCACTTCTTGTCGTCTTCGTCTTTTCTGCCAGCAGTAACACCCGATCACATGATGCTTCGCAAAATGCATCTATTTCAATATGGCCGTAAAAAAAATCCTAATTAAAGCTAAAACACTTGAATTTTCTTGAAAATGGCTTATTTCCGTAAAGCCAATGTGTTTTGGTAATTCTAATACGTAGCTCTCATGGGACGCCACAATTTCGGGAACTTTGGAACCGGCAGCCATCTTGGTAGGCAGTTGCTAAGGAGTTGCTATGACAACTCCTTCCTATGTAAAGTATAAATGATAAAAGTATAAATCATAAATATCTGAGTACCCACCTCTGTGTTTTACTAGGACAAATATCAGTGATATTTACTGTAGTACTTATTGTATTCATGTCTATGGTACTAACTGCCAGAGCAGCAAGATTAGCTTAGCTAATGGCTAACGCAGCTAGCCAGGACAGACGTGTCTGATGACGTCCGGTTCATGGAAACACAGTTTTTACTGTTTTACCACACTTACAGTCCAGATATTAGAAATCGATTTTGTAAATTAAGATATCTCTATTTATACTTTGACTAGATCAGATTTACCATTCGGTTGTGTGTAAGCTTCAGTTCAAAATATCTACAATAAATTATTTCTGAAATATTATTTCAGATATCTACTACAAAATTATAACTGGTCATGAAATAAATTTGCAATATCTTGCTTTTTGTTCTGACTAGTCATAATTCTACTTACATGCATCTTTAATGACACTGTAAATCAATATTTTAAATGTATTTCGGATAGCAGTAAAAACTCAGAGGCTTTATTGATGTAGGCGCTGCCTGTGTGTCCTGGTATAAAATTTAGCGGCGTTTATTGATCTGCCCCATTCCTCTGTTGCAGCCGGGGTTGTTCCTGAAGATGTTGGCCCGCCTGTTTCAGGTTCTTCCATCTGCAGCAGACAGACTAACACTAATGCATGACTTCTGAGGGTTTAATGATTGTAATGCGAACTATGCCAGAAAGATGAGAGGCTGCAGGCATAAGTGGTATGAAAAATGCTCCATGCAGGCAACAACAAATATCCCTGATTCTTTTGCTGCTCCATTTGGATACATCGATTCAAACTTTCCTTTCTTTCAGCCCGTCACATTTTGGAAAGACTATAAGTTCATATTCACATTTTTTTATCCGCTTTAAGTGACCTAGAGTTTTTTTTAATTTGAATGAAACGACTGTTATGCTGAAAGCTGAGACAGTTTTTTGTTTAGTGCGT